TGAAGATCCCTGCTCATTTGAGCGAAGTTAAGTTGGAAATTTGGCCTTTCTACCGGATGAACTCTTGGCTTGTGGCCACCGCAAGCGAAAGATGTTTATCGAGGGAGTCCCAGTCCCAGTTCCAGTCGCAGTCCCAGTCTCATTGTTAGCATCTGAGCTAACGATCCCTAGTTTCTGGTTTTGTTACTTGGCTCTTATCTCAGCTTGTGGCTTTGTAGCATCTTTTTTTTCATTCTGCTGTCGGTCATTGTTTGCGGAATAGACAAAAAAAGAGAGGAGAACAGAAGAGTCCTGGCCACTTTGTAACCTGGGAGTTCTTCAAATATAGTAGTTCAATTGCCCGTCTGCTGACCATTTGAAAGGTGTAATTTTGGTCCTGTTAGGGTCTGCTCTTGTGTCTTGGATGCAGCTGTTTTTGCTCAGCTCCTTTCCCAGTTAGTGACTCACCTTTGACTCCCTCAACTCTGATTGATCAGCAGGACACGCGTATGGCACACTTTCACAATACATAATTTAGGCTTTTACCATAGCCCCGTCTCAATCGACAATTATCAATCTATCCAAAGTCTAGAGAATACCATAAATGCACTTGGAAAAATGGTAAAATATGTAAATTGTAAATATGACTAGCACTATATTTATTTCTTATAAATTTGATGTTATAGCATTAAAATTGTTAAGACAATAAATCAAACATATTTTGAAATGCACATTTATATATGTTACATTTACTGAACTGTTATAGAAAATATAGCTTTTTAGGACAACTAGACACAATTTAGTTAAATATTTTGGTTACTTACATATTTGTTAGGTCAACTTGATAAATTTTTTCCCTTAGTGTATTTATAAATAATAACGGCTTGGGCGTAAGTACATATATCCCACAGGGCTGAGCAACGCCATAAATAGGGTATTTATGTTTAACCACCACCCCGATTTCGCCATTTTGGGATGGGGTTGTATTCCGGATTTGGTGTGGGTTACGGATTGAGTTTTGGAAACGGTTTGGTTCCAACGGTGCACAATTTGGTAGCCATTTTTAGCTGCGTTGGCACTAAAAATAACAGAAAACCAAAATAGCAAATAGTGTAGGGGGAAAGGGGTTTACAAGGGTTTTCACTCACCCAAAAATATGGATTGCACGGGGGGGAGGGGAGAACATGTTGTGGGTGTTTAGTTGATTAAAATGCGCCCGGGGTGCCAGTGGCCTCATGCAGGACTCGATGATTAGCAATCCACCCCTGGCCATCCTGCGATTGCGATGAGCTGTTGATTGCATCAGTAAAAGCCGGCGCCCACATCCAAAGATCAACGGAGAATTACCGATTCTCGCCGGCTTCTGGCTCCTTTTTTCCACAACTTTACGCATTTTAATTATGAAAATTGGCAGGGGCAGGATGGCCGATCCTGCACCCGGATCAACAAACCTCGCCAGCATCTGTGTGTGGGTTAATTACGAGCGGCGATCCTTTCGACGTCTCATGCGTGACGTCATGCGAGCCACCTTAAGGATTTGTTGAAACCCCCGATAATTTATTTCTGTAAACAGTTTTTCACTGGAATTGAGCGCCGAAGGAGAGAGAAAGTATCCTTTCGTCTCGTCCAACAGCTGACCAGCGTCCGTCCTGCGAGATCGAGGTGGGTGTAGCGAATCCTTAAGTGGCCAACGCCGCCGCTAACAAGCGCTAAGGATGTGTGCTGACCATCTGAGTTTTGGCAGTCGGCCAAGTTATGAGGGCTGGCCGGTCAGGCAATAGATCTTCTCAAACGCGTGGCGAGTTTCTTACATTTAACCCTAGATGAATTACTTAAGACAAGCAGGTATACATTTAACAAAAAAAAAACATAGGGACTAAATATTACAATTTTTAAAAGCTCATTATTAAATTATTTTATAAATATTATTATATCCCAGTAATGTAAAAGATAGTTTACCCCCTTTCAACTTATTGGTACATATGTTGAACTAGTTTGTTTAAATCATTTTTTAAAATTAAAATAGACTCTGGTTTTTATGAAAAAAAAGGGAAACACACTCATCTCATTAATATACATTAAAAAGCCTTACCATAAATTTAGCTTTATTCAAAAATATATTTTAAAAGAATTTACATTCAAAACCATGTCATACATTTTGCTATATTCAAGAAAATATTTTAAAGGAATTTACAGCGAAAACCACCTCCAACCCCAAACTTAAATACCTATTCAACTATCATTATCTATGCCCAGCATGATAGTTAATCATCCTAGCCGACAACCATTCCACTCCACCACAAAGTTACAAATGCAATTCAAAGGCAAAAACCAAAACTAATTGCAGCGAATCAGTTGATGAATATGCAAAACTGTAGAAAATTAAAGCCATACAAAGGAAGCCTACAAGATAATGATGATGTTGATGGTGGTGGGGTGTAACTATGGAGTATATACCGAATGGAGTTCCATGAAGGACCCACCAGCCCCGAAAGGGAAATAAACAAAGCGGATAACTAAGGAAACTCGCGACAGCAAACAGCGAAAGTAACAAAACAATTTTTACAGTTCGGCAAACAGAATGCGTCCATCGTGTCCACTCTACATGTAAATAGATAGGAAAAAAAAAGCGGAGACGTAGGAGAAAAACTCCGACTGGGTTGGAAAAAACATCTGCCCCTGATGGCACTTTAGTTAACGAAAAACAACAAAAGGTTAAAAATATATGCAAGCGGACTCTGGCTTCCCAATACACCCAATACCATTCTGAGTTTCATTGCTATTCTCATTCCCATTCCCATTCCCAATCCCATTCCACTCCATCGATAATGTCCAGCATCCGTTATGAAGAGACCGAAAAAAGGAAGTTGACAACAGCGTGTGCCTCGTCCTGTGAATGTATTTTCGTATTTTCGTATTTTTGTATCCGAGTGTGGGGGTTGCACAGATACGATACGCGTGTCCTGGAGAGTTCTCTATCCTCTATCCTCTATCCTCTGTCCCCTACCCTACTCTACTATATATCCCATATTTGCACTATAGAAAGTCCAGCCGCTGGATTCGTTTGGTCAGTTTGCTACAAACAATGCCAGCAGTCGATTGAATTCCCGATTCCGTACTCTTCCAGCAGCCTTTACTTTTTGTTTGCCCTCGGACCACATCCACCAGATGCTGGCAAGTCAACAGTGAAATCATAGACGCCTGGGAGGGCCCAAAGTTCGGGAAGGGTAAAGAAAAAGATACAATCAAGGGGTATACATTAATTAAAATAACTTATAGTTTCCAACAGTCTCTGCTAACTAATTTTCTAACTGACTGACTCATCACTCCATTCTTTACCACTAGGCCCATTGGAAAAATTTGTTTGGAATAATAAGAAAGGGGGTTACCTTTAAAAACAGTTTCGTAACTGTTATTCAGCTGAAAAACCATTCCTTAAAAAGGTGAAATTTAACTCCAGAAATGGATTTCAAGCCGATTTTCGAAATCTTGCCGTCAATAAGTCATTGCACCTAATAAGATTTCAGCTACCAAATGTAAATAACAAGTATAAAATATTAAAAATGTGTACTAGAGACACCATATTGCACTTTTTTTATTTCAATAACGACCTCCCCAATAATGAATAGAAACCCTCCCTAATCAAGCCATCAAAACCAATCAAATTGTAGGCAAAAAGTCAAAGCAACGCCTATTACACAATCCGAATTGGAAATATTTCACGCAAAAAATGCGATTACCACCAATAAAAATATCACACAAAAAACACTCCTTAAAAACGAGGCAAAAAATCGAAACCCAAACTACCCAAAATTGCTATAAGGGGTGGGTAAGGAAAGCAAACCACCACCACCTCATAGAGGGTTGCAAAAAAAAACCGAATACGAAAACAAAAATGGAAAAGAACCCAGAAATGGTTTCAATGGATCGATATTTTGTTTTTTTTTTTGTTTTTTTTTTGAGGGTGAGTGATGAGGTCGACATGTGAATAAAAAACAGGTAAGGTAAGGTTTTCCTCCTCTTTTTTTTTGTAAAAGATACTTTTTTAGCAACATGTGTTTGGTCCTTTGAAAAGATTTGGGATTTGGGAATCCTCTATTTGGTTTTGGTAAATCGACTTATTGGTCTTTTGTGCCAGGTTCGAAGTGCAAATGTCAGCTGTAGGGATAGAGAGATGGAGTGTAATGTGAGCAATTAGAGGACCCCGAGGATGATGTATCAGTATCAGGACGAAGGATGAAGTACAGGTGCCAAACGATACTTTAGATACAAGTTGTCAGCGCTTCAATGCTTGATGGGCGGATATGGATCTCAAGTTTCCGCTGGTTGTCCACCAAGTAATCAAGTTCAAGCCAGCCCACAATCCTCCCTCCTCTCATTTGGCTTGTGTCCTCGATCAAGGACATCTGGCAATTGCATGATTCACTCTCATTTTCAGCTGCACTTCCCCCCAGAATTTCCCCTTTTTTGCTCCTGCAGGTGCTCATGCGACATCCATCAATAATTTTCGATTTGTGCGACTACGATTTGCCCAAAGTGAAGTGCAGAAATTTCTGCTACGATTTACCAAGGGTTAACTTGCATTTTTCAGCTGGTCATTGTGGTTGACAAAAAGGGTCTCGTTTCGCCTCACTGAAAAATGGGAAATTTATTTTTCTCTTGTTTTTCCCCGGAAAAATTGTAATAATTTTTGCTTTAGCCAAAAACGAGAGAGTAACATCTGAATAAAGGTGTTCAATTTTCAACTTCAATTCCGAACCCTTTTCCATTATATGGTTTTCAGTGGTGGTTATTTTTGTAATACCAAATGTTGCTAATTGGACAGCTGGTCTTTCATCTATTATTTCAAAAAAATTAGTTTGCAAAAATGTTTGAATATAAAAAAAGTCTCTGCCAAAATTTTCAAAAGAAGTTTTCTATTTACTTTCCCAATTCTTTTCTAAAAATTAACAAAGATTTTCATCGAAGAAAATATTTAAATAACTCTCCAACCAATTTAGTCCCCAAAAAGCAAGACTCAGTTATCTACAGCTTATTTTCCTTGAAAGCTTATTCATTTATTTTTAATATATGTAATTATCCATCAATTTTAGAGCTGCATGACGTTTATAAGGAATTAAACAATATTTTAAATTAAATTGAACATCTATACAATCTTAGGCGCATAAGTATATTTGCTTAGCATGTAGTTATGACGTGACATTCTTGCGATAGAAGTCTTTTGGTCTAGATTTGAATTCAAATTTTTGTTACTGCTTCTTATCAAGCGATTCAATTAGTACAATTATTTATGGGCTTGAACTTGAGTTGAAACTGTAGTATTTTTAAACAATGCATTATCCATTTATTTCTGTGACATGCGTAGAATTTTAAGCGTGTGGTGATCTGTAAATAGAATTAATATTAAAATACTGGGATTTATTTTTTTAAATCTGTAAACATTTTACCTTTGCTAAACAGTAATTGCTTTCTTTTCTATCATTTTATGATTGTAAAATCCTTAACATTTATGTATTTTTAGTTCCCATTTATTAATGCAGTAGGTATGCTACTTGCTCGGTTCTGACTCTTATAACTTCGTCTTTAGCAATTTCTCTTGCATGTAGTATCCCAATTAGTTCATCTTTTTCTTTAATTTGATCCAAAAGATTTTTAATTTCTTCATCTTTTTCCAAACGATCATCTTTTATTCGAACTATTGCCAAAAGATCACTAATATGTTTATCCTTAGCTTCTAAGAGTTCGTTAATATTGTCTTGTAATGTTGTGTTCTGTGTTAAGGCTGGCGTTGAATCCGCATTCGAAAAATCCACTGAAAACAAAAAGAATAGAAAAAGCACAGTAGCTCCTGACTTCATTATGTTGAAGCTGTGAATTGTACAAGCGTAGAATATAAACTAATCTGAAATAAAACACACATTGGTGTATAAGCACTTTTGTTTAGCATGTTGTTTTGTCGTGAAATTCTCGCGATAACATTTTTCTTATGTTAAATTCAAATTTTTTGGCTCTACGTCTTATCAGGCGAATGATTATACAACAAAAAAATACAAACGTTTTTGGCCTTGAACTAGAATAAAATTTGTTTTTGAGTACTTCAATTTACATAGGGGCAATATAACAAAACTTATTAAGAGCATGATCTTGTAGAAAAAAATTATTTTTCCACTCACTTTCCCTTATATTTTCCCTGAACTTTTTTCCTCTGACGCTCGTCGCCATTTTGAAGTTTTTCCGGGTAGAGAAAACTCACCCTTTTGGCGACTCCGAACTCCATTTTACCCTTCCTCAGTTGCACTTCATAACAGTTTGTTAGTTTTATTTTTAAAAGTGTCGCGCCCCTTTCCTTCATGCTAGCTCCTCTCGTTGCCTTTCGGTATAATTTACAGGGCGTAATAAAAACAAAATGAAATTAAGACGAGTACCCCCTTGAAAAGTGCTCCAAAAATCTTTTAAGACTTATTTTTGGAAGCCCCCTTAGGAGGTGTCCCCCTTTTCCGAAGGGCCAATCATCGCCGAGGGATTAGATGGTCTTTGGGCGTGTGGCACCGCAAGATCTTTGTCATTGAACTTGAAAAAGAGCCGAAGAAACGTGCCCCAGACAACTGGCGACTGGCGACTCCACTCTACCCTTTCAACGCATTTGGGCAATCTGACATAAACACCTCGGGTGTGTTCCCATAAATAAAACAAACTCATCCCGATCTGAGAACCCTTTTTCCTTTGTATCTTTTTATCTCTCGCCTGTTGCATCATCATCATCGTCATCGAGTTTTTACCCTCGTCAAACATGGAGTACGAGAGCTCTCAAATTAACCACCAATAAAAAGGCAACACTTCATAAAGTAAAAAAAAAGGAAAACAACTTCCGTTTTTTCATTGTTTCCCCTCCGGATCCTGATCCCTGCTGCCTGTTGCTCCCTCGAATATTTTTTAGGCTGTGCCGTAATCGAGGAGTCGTTAAGTAAACACCCTTAATTTGATTTTTAGCGCCACTTAACATGAGGGCACTTCTTTTTTATCCATACGATATGCATATGGGGTGGGTTCTTTTTTACACGGCAAACGGGGAGGGTAAAAAATGCACGCTCAACAAAAAAGTTGACATGGTAATTGGTTGTATCGGATGCTCGAAATGAAGGCATTATTATGTAATTGACCTTTATTGGGAATAATCGGGGAAGGGCATTTTTAAGGGGATAGAAAGGGCGTGGTGCTTTGTGGGTAAGATGGGGTTTTTTTTAAGGGGAGTGTTTTTTTATTGGCGTAGTAGGATGGTTTTTGAGTCGATTGATTTAGTTGATTTAATGAGCTTTTATCAATGGTTAGTTTAACAATAGATAAATCAATAAAAAACGAAAGCAAAAATTCAGTGACTTATAAATTATTATTGAATTATTCTCACTAGATTTGAAATATTTTAATAATGCGTATTCGAAAATTATTGTAAACATTAGTTTATATAGCTATTGGCACATCTTTAGATGATTTCTTTCAGGCATCCAAATCTTATGATAGCAAATATCCAAATGAAATAGTAAAAATCTTAATAGAATTTAATTTCCAATACTTTAAGGGATCAGCAGTTGGCAATTCCTAGATATCCTGGCATCCTTCTGCCATCATCTGCTGCTGGCTGCACCTTTGTCCGCATAATGAATTCATCACATCAAATGCTGATCCTGGCTGCGATCGCAGGACCCGTCGATTGCCGAACAGAGGACAGGCCAACAATTGAAATGCAACGAGCGAAGGCAAATGCACAAAATTCAAATGTCATTCAAATAACGGCTGTCAGGACAATGGCCACGCACGCGGTCAGGATTGGAGTGGAAGTGGGAGTAGGAGTAGGAATAGGCATAGGAATACATATAGCCGAAAGGTGGATGAGGTCCTGGGGAAGATGACGAGGAGTGGGAGAGGTAACAGCAACGCCTGCATCTCATTTCAGGACTTCAGCAAATCTCTATACTTTTCTTTCTCACTTTTAAATGCACTTGAAAAAACCATATGCATTTTTCAACATAAATATCATTAGAAAAGTAAAATAGTTGTAGTACGTAAATTTTATGTATAAAATTCTAAGAACTTGTTGGTAATTAATTTTTTTGTTTTCTTATTAATAAATGAAAATTCCTTTAAATTAAAATACAGTACTCCAATCTGATTTTCACTCCAATTTTTTCTGATTTTTGATTTTTTGAGTGCACTGCAATATCCTGGCACAGGATACATGTGCGTATATTGTTATTGTTTTCGAGTTCCATCCGGTTTGGCCTCAGCTGACTGACAACCAGCGGCCGACGGCTACAAAAACATTCCGCATTCAGCATCCAGTCAAAGGCGACGATGATGAGGACAAAGTCGGACTGCCAGATGAGGCATCGACTTCCTCTCCGCCGCCAAACCACAGAACAGATCAGCCCCCTGGTCCGTTCAGGTTTCCGATCCGATAAGCGTGACATTTTCATATTGCTGGCGATCTAAATCTGAGTTCTCAATCAGAATTCCGGATTCCTCAGTGAACCGTGCCTTCATTGATTGCAGCTTTGCCATTTCTATGGCCAATCACACGCTGACGGGATTAGGAGAAGTGCTGTTTTTTATCTGGGCTAATTGGACCGATCCACTCTTTGTCCTCCTAAGCGGACAGCCATGAAATCAGAGTCCGATCATCCGATGGCCCAACTCTGATATTAGACATGTGTCTCGAGGTCCTTTCTCAACTGGCTTTCTTTTTCCAAGGGCGTGCAATTGGCGTTAAATTTGAGCTGACATCTAGCTTAAGGACTCGCTAGGAAGGACATTCCTATATGATCTTGGGTTTTATAAAACACATAAGACCGTCTTAAAAATTCTTAGCAAACGGTTACTGATGATCCTAGCAATTTCATTTTAAAAATCTCCTAACTTACAGATTTTTTATTAACAAAATGTAATTATTTGATAAACAAAAATATTTATTCGAATAAAGGTTTCTGAATTGTTATGTTTATGAATCTTAAATGTTAAATGACACTCAAAAATACGAATAAATAAAAATAATATTTAAAACTTTTCCTTCAAATCTGATTCAAACTTTATTTTAAAATATATATTCTTTTTTGATTTGGTCTGACAAAGATAAAATGGATTAAGTTATTTCACAGAATTCATTTGAGAAAACTTGCACTTTTGCAGCTGTTAAAGGAGTACGCACCCCAGCTCTCATTCCTTTGGAGCACAACAAATTTCCACGGGCTGAAAAATGATCTAAGAACTACTAGAAATTAGGGCATGACTCCATAACTCGCCAGTCGGGAGCCAGGGCAGATGTCAAGCTGCTAAAGATCACACTAAATACAAATATCGCCCAAGGAGCAAGAGCTCAACTCATTTGAATGAGGGGTCTCAGTTTTCCAGGGAAAGCAAACAAATTCCGACCCTCAAATCCCAAGGGAGCAGACATAAGAAAATCATTTGTGGGGCAGGGGAAAAGGACTCCAAGGGATCAACCCTGAGTCAAATGCCAAAGAATCCCTTTGGAAAATCTGAATGTCGCGTGTTGGCGCGTAAGATTTGTGTTTTCCGGGGTCGCCGTCTCGGAAAAATCGGAGTCACACAAGGGGTCGAGGGTCGGGGTTCGGGGGTCGGGACTCAAGGCATTATAATAGGCTCATTTCCTTGCCTGCTCCTTCGGCTCCTGATTTTCTCAGCGTAATAGCGTAAACATTTACCGGGAGCGTGCGCTGCGCACGCGCAACATTGCCTCACCCTGCGACCCGAATTCTTAGTCCTTAGTCCTTAAGTTCCTTACCCTTCGACCCTAACCTCATACGGATCCCAATCTGCTCGCCATTGTTTGATTTCCTTGAGGATTTGCGTGTCTTATGATTGATTCAATGTTTTGTAGCAATTGTTGTTGGCATGATTTCTCCATGTACACGATCACAATCTTGTGGCATTCTCTATGCAGCATGATGAATCTTTGGTGCGTTTTCGTGGGTGTAACGATTGGTTTTTGGAGGACGGGGTCGTGGCACTCTGTTTGACAAATATTCAATTCATCTTTGTTCATAACAGCCGAAAGAATCAATGGCGAAGATAAGCTGAACGAAATGAAAAAAGTATGATTAAATGATGCATTGAAAATAACTAAGATTAATTCAGAAAATAATTTTAAGTTCAGAGTGTTCAAAAGAGATTTAGGCAAGCAAGTTAAAGTACTTCAACGATTTTCAATTTTTTATTTTATGTTTATTTTAATCAAAGAGCATACATTGGGTTTGAAAAGTAATAAAATAACAAGTTTAAGTCAAATTTGAACTTTGTATTTCTGAGATTGAGAATTATTTGAAGTCTATTTAAAGATAAAAATTATTATTCGCTGCAATATAAGCCATATATATAGTCCTAATTTTACAAATATTTACATTTAAAATAAAAAATATTAAAAACAAAGATACACAACAAGAAATGCTTTTAAAAACTAAATCACTTCATGCTGCGCAACGCAAATTCTTTATTTTACTGATGGTTTCTTCCATCAGCAACACATGACACCGCAGCAACAACAGCAACATTGGCAGCAATACATGATGCATGTGGCACATTTAACACCTCCAATTCATAATGAATGAGTTAAGAGCATCAACAAACGAAGCACGAACATATCGTCGGAGGACTACTGCACATGGGACCTCGATATGGGTTGGGATTGAAATCTGGGATGCCGTCGGAGGTGCTTGTTCGCCACGCCCGCATCTACCAGGACATGTGTTAATCAAGCGGCAACCTCAGCAGCGCATAACTCAGTTGCAGATGGACTAATTTTTGTGTAAGTCGGGTAATAAAGGCGGGGTAAGGACCGCACACTTACAGCTGCCCAAAGGACTAAAAATAGTCGATGGCAAGGTGCAGGCTGCGATTACAATTTATGTGACAGAATTCTCATGTTTGCGCTTAATTTTCGTTTAATTTTTATGGGCGCCAAATGATGTCAGACGGCTGCTGCTTGGATACTACGAAATTCCCGGCCAATTTTGGCCATTTATCCTGGCAGTATCCAGTATGGAACAATGATGTGGACAATAAAGGTAACATGAGCTAAAAAACCAATAGAAGTAACAAAGTGTGACAGGCAATCGGAAGAAGACAAACAAATGAAGAATCCAGTGAAAAGCGCAATTGTTGCAGAATGACAATTGAATGCAATCCGGAAATGTCCTGCGTGGACAAGGATCGATGGCCATCGCCCAAGTGGTTTTTTTTTACACTCAAAGAGAGAGCAAAAGAGAGTTCTACTCAATGAGAATTTCTGTGTTTCCCTAGTTTCCTGATAAAATAAAAAACAACCCCCATATTAAGACTCAACTCAGTTACTTTGTGAGTGAGGATCGGTTTGTAGGATATTTTAGCAAGCAACTTCGCTCAGATTGAGTGAATATCTTTCAAGATGAGTTTTCTTCAATTTGTTTTCCGAATAGGGTCAAACTTGACCTCTAAGACGACCTCAAAGATGGGAGATGAGAGATGAGAGAAGCGCGCGCGTTGCTCCTTTTGTGTCCTCCGAGCGCATCCTTCGGGTCACCTTGTGACCTTTTCTTTTGGCACCCGCTTGCCCTTTTGTTTTTCGCCCCGAAATCGTTGACAAAAGGCCTGGGGCATTGCAATAAATGTGATAAAGATTGTTTTTTGTTTTTCGTCTTTGGTTTTTGTCTCTCTGTGCAATTGCTTGGACACCGTGCCATAAATTGCCCGTAGACCGGCGAACCCCGATCGCTGACCGTTGATCTTGGATATCGTTGATCATCGACTAGGGGTTTGGCTTGCAAGGAAATACCCTGAATGATGCCTTAATTGTGGGACAGGCAGCTGAAACTGTCGTGTTCCATTGAACTGGCCGGCAATTGTGGGTGTTTAACGTGTGTTTTGCTCGGATCAAAGGTTCGCCCCCGATGATGTGGCGCGAATAAAAGCGCTAGTTTTATATCTTACACATGTAATGCCCTAAATTACGGCTGTCGATTGTAGAAGACGCTACAAACCACACCTAAAATCCACGCCAAGAGGAACAAGGGGAACAAAAATTATGTTTATTAAATTTAGTTCGATCTAAACGATTAAAAATAGGATACCAAAAAAATTACTGCAAATTTTAAGCACCTATAATTCATAATTCTATTCAGCATTAAAATATGCGACCATCAAATTTAGCAAATGTTAAATTAAACCTTAAAAAACATAATTAATAACTAAATTTAAGCTGCTCTTATTTCTGCTTTTAAAATGCATTTAACTCTTATTTTATTGAGTTTCTTATATGACCCACTGTAATATGCTTTAGAAAGCAAGGAAAATCCACCAAATCAAATTGCTGTGCCAGATCTAATTAAATTCTACTACATTTCATTCAGTAAAGCCAGTTATGGGTAGACCTAAAACAGTACTGGTTGCTCTCATGAAGATTACCGCACTAACTATTGGAGTAATCCTTTTAGCAAGGATCGTTAAGGTTGGTACGTATGCTTTTCCGTTTCAAACAAAGATTAACTTACAAATTTGTATCCTATTAAGATGGAAATGAAACAACAGAACAATATGAAATTAAAGATCTGGTAAGAATTTGAGTTTACGTATCTTATGACCAAATTTTTACAGATTATATTTAACCAAAGGAATCTTTGCTTAAATTGGATGCAAAATACACTGCCTTACTACAGGAGATAAATTCGACATACCATAGTAGACCCCATAATACAGCAAACAATATGGAATTTGAAAAGTTCTTTCAAAAGGTTTTAATTGGTTTAAACTCAACCGCCTACGACTTGGTTGACAAAATTGATATTTACACAGATTTCACAGTTTACAATCAAATGCGATTGGAGCTGGAAAGAGAAATTTCGAAAACACTTCAAGTCGCGAAAAATCTTCTTAAGCTTAAAAACCTTGTGCCTCAGTGTCGTACCTTTTTTATGGATCAACAAGTGCAACTCACCGCGAGCATCAGTCAATCGAATTTCGCGAAAATGATAATACTTAATAATCCCAGTAACGAGTGTGAAAGTGTTGAACTAAATCGAATAACCTATCCGGCAACGAAAGCAACAACCGCTCCGACTACAACACCAAAGCCCATAAACTATGATTCACTACTTCTAGAGATTCTGAAAAAATATAACAAGCGTCCGTGGGGAAATCGAAAATACGTGGAATTCGACGAACAAATTTGGCAAGTTTTCATGGCCACGAATAAGGACGATAACAATTATAAAAATGAGACATTAAACAAGTTCCTAGAATATGACAAAGATCGTGCCCAACTGGATAAAGCCTTAGCCTTGCGAATCGGAAAATTTAAAAAACGAATTGCAGTCGAACCTAATAATGATTGCAAGGGAAACCTTTTGTACATAAATAAGCAATTCAGCCGAGCAATGTTCGAAACCATTGAGAAAAAACGAAAGATCTTACTTACTTCAAACTATGTACAAGCTTGTGTTAAAACGGAAAAAGTAAATCATAATATTATAGTTGTAAACATATAGTAAAATAAAATTTAAAATTATTTAACTTGCGTCTTCCATTCTTAGGAATATATATATATTTTTTTTTATTCAAAAAACTTAGTAATTTCATTTTGCAAGCTAAGTATTTCGTAAGAGAACAAAAATGATTACAAAACTATATATTTTAAGCAAAGTTATTAAAGTACAAATACTCCATAGTCTATTTTTTGTCCCCCTTACTGACTGCCAACTGCTTTCGAAGACGAGCTTGGGCCTCAGCTGGCCAGTTTTTGAGCTGTTCCTGGCCGCATGGCAAACAAAAGGTGGCCGTGTAGTAGAAGCTGCAACCCGGATCCTTGCAGACCGTCTTTGAGCAGATGGAGCACTTGGCCCCCAGTGAGATATAGTATTCGGCTTTCGTCTGCCAACGAGGTGGAGGTGGCTGAAACGGATCCCGCATTACGTAGTTATCCTCCGGATACTTGATTCCCAGAGAAAAGGGTGGTTTCCTTCCGAAATAGTGAACCATTTCGTGCATTTCACATCCGGAACAAAGGAAGTCGATGCGTGCTATTCTTTCATCCTCCTCCTCGGGATCGGGAGGTTTCTTGTCCTCTTCGGGTAGCTTCAAACGCTCGATCTCCGCCGTCTCATTGTCCAGGACGAGATCCTCCTCATCGGCCTCCATGTCCAAGATTCACTGCAAGACCAACAGAGAAACAAGTAACTGGGCAAAACATTGACGATGACTAGTTACGTTTACTATATTAATAACAATAAAACTATTGGTACAATAACAAATAGTGATTTAAATCAGCTCCTGGGTCATTCAGCGAAGGCCATTCGCCGCTTTCCGGGCTGATCCTCGGGCCACCATTCCGGTCGTTCGGCATAGCAGCGCTCGCCATCGATCATCAGTTCCGGGTGCCCGTTGAGCACCTTCTCGATTCGCAACAGGGCCACTCCGTGGTTGTGGGCAGAGCCAAAGACGCGTCCTAGTTTCGCTCCAGCCACGGAGGTCACCTCTTGGCTGGAACCGGCATCGATGGGCGCTGTCAGCCGGATGGGCATATAACGTTTGCGGATAACACCCGAATGGTGGACGCGGGCTGTCAGCTCCTGGCCCACATAGCAACCCTTCTGGAAGCTTACGCCGTTCAGGTAATCCACATTGGCCTCCAGGGGAAAGCATTTTCCCGGAGGCAATTCCGAGCTGCCCTCGCCCACTCCTTGCTTGTAGCGGACCAGCTGGTAGTTGCTATCCGAGGAGGCGGGTGTGGCGATGCCAAAGTCAGCGAAACTCTTGGTCAGTTTGGCCCAGTCCATATTGGTGGGCGCCAGGACGCGAGTGCCCAAGGCAGACAGCCTCGGATCCGGGGATACAAATAGATCTGGATGCGGATTGGCCACCATCTCCGAGCCGTCCTTAAAGTTAAAAATCACCCAAGGGGTGTACTCGTCGTCCACACTGTCCACTTCGATGCGCCGGCGAACGCGATAGGTGCGCAGGTGACGTCGGAAATCCGAGGAAGCCTCGCGATCGCACTCCACCAGGATGGTGTCCGGATTGTTGGTGCGGTACAGGATCGTGTCGTACAGCACCCGGCCCGATTTGTTGAGGAAGTGAGCGTACATGGAGGCAGGACCTCCGGGCGACTGGATCCGGGCCACATCGTTGGTGGCCAGACCCTGCAGGAAGGGCACCACCTCGGCCCCATGGACGCGGATGAGTTCTCGGTTGGCCAGCGGCTCCAGGGTGAAATTGCGCTGGCTTATGCCCATGGGACGGGCGTATGGAATCCGCATCTGGTGCAGATTACGTATGTGCAGCCGCGCAGCGCGGAAGAAGCACGGATTTGAACATCTATTCATGCTGCAAAATGGAGGCATCACGGTTGCCTGCAAATCTGTACTTGAAGTGGCAAAAATAAAGCGCCCTTACCTTGCGTGTGGAAATATGACTTAATTTATTTGCTCTATCTAGCTGCAGTAACTTAAATTTGGTATACAAAAAACAAAGTCAGGCAAGGAACTGATTTTTTGGCACCCGGTTCATAACAATGAGACTTGACAGTTCGTCAGAGATGAGCGCTTGATGGAGGTTTGTTCGCGTGTCACGACAAAAAAAAATGTTGACAAATTTATGAAAAGTAGACCAAATTGAAGAAAATATAATTTTCAATATTATTATTGTTATTTTAGGTATAAACTTTTATTTTGATTTTATAAATGGTTCAAGTTAAAGCTGGCAATTTTCGTGGTAAGCTTAAATTGTTAGTCACGCTCCCATCTCTAATCAGCTGTTCCTATCATGAGACCACATCATCTGGTTTTCCCTGGTTAATTTTAGCACATTTTGCTAGGAAAATCGGTATTTCGTGGCGCTGTGGGCGCAGCCACTTTGCTGGAAACATAAAAAATTTGTTTTAAACAAAACAAAATGAGTCAATACAGCCACGTTAAGTATACGCAATCGCCGACGCCGTCGGTGGTTTCTGGCTACTCGAGTGCCTCGCGGCTCCACTCACCCCTCCCGCCGCCCGCCAACCACAGGAGGGACTGCCTATCGGCGACCACCAAGAGCTACAAATACCTGCGACGTCTGCTCAAGTTCAATCAGATGGACTTCGAGTTTGCCCTGTGGCAGATGCTCTACCTCTTTGTGGCGCCCCAAAAGGTGTACCGGAACTTCAACTACCGGAAACAGACCAAGTCACAGTTCGCCCGCGACGATCCGGCGTTTCTAGTGCTCCTGGTAATCTGCCTATGTGGTGAGTTTTCAACGCCAAAGCATCCATCCAATTTTAAGGTGGTGCAGTGGTCTTCGTATCTTAATGGTTTAACCATAATCCTGAATATGCATTATACATTATTTTGAGACATTTTGTATGGTGGTTAGTTATATACCAATTGGTATTTTGTTAGAATGAGTTTCATTAGTGCCCAATACGATTTCAACAAATATATTATTCTTATTTCATGTTCTAATCTGAATTCAACAGTCACCTCACTGGGCTTTGCGTATGTGCTGGGACTGTCCTTCTGGCAAAGTATCTCCTTCATATTTTACGTGGTTTTCGTGGACTGCATTTTCGCGGGCATCATAATCGCCTCGTTTTTCTGGGCGGTGACGAATCGGTACCTGCGCACGAATAATCTGGAACCGGACATCGAATGGGGCTATGCCTTCGATGTGCATCTGAACGCCTTTTTTCCGCCACTCATGCTGCTGCACTTCATCCAGCTGTTCTTCTACAACTGGCTGATCAGCCAGACGTGGTTTATCTCCCGATTCCTGGGCAACACCTTCTGGCTGCTGGGCATGGGCTATTACGTATATATCACCTTTCTGGGATATAATTGTGAGTAAGTTTGAGGACATAGAGAACTCTCTGATTAATACGTTTTCCCCTTTGTAGGCATCCCCCATCTAAAGAACACCCGAATTATACTCATCGCCCTGCCCATCATCTTCCTTCTGTTTCTGGTTGTCACCATTATTGGCTGGAATGCCACGATATCCTTCGTCAACTTCTACAAGTATCGCGTTTATTAATCATGTAACGTGCGTTGTAAATTATTTTGCGTTTAGCTGCTAGGCACTATACTACAATTATGACTAATAAAATAATTAATTTAGAGTTATCCAAACAAAGAGTGTATGTGTGATTTGTTTTTATAAATTTCTCAAATAATTAACACAGCCAAACTCATGTAAACTAAAAGCATTCAAAAACTAACGTAGTCATTTATAAAGATTTCAAAAATTAGAAAATCATTGGCTATGTCACCATTTTTTCCTCCTTGATCAAGTATCAATGTACTTTCAACATTTTTCCGAGTTTATTAATCTATAAAATGGACAACAAATGCAATTACGCCAAATGCTTGGGCTTGACGAAGGTGCGCTTTCGCTTGTTGCGTTTGCGCTGCAGCTCCAGAGTGTGCAGTTCCGTGTGCACCTCGGCGAAGATCTCCGTCTGCTCCTCCTCGGGAATCGAGCTGCGGTAGTCCTTCATCATGTCGTACTTTTCCCAGGGCTTCTGCACCTTGGCTGACGACAGGCGATGCTTGTCCTTCAGATACTCATCGATGTTGGCCACGCCACGCAGATTTTGGCGCTCCCAACGCTCCAGCCAGGGACGTGGTCGCAGCACCACCTTGATGTCGTTCACCGGCACGGGAGCACCATCCTCCAGCGGCTCCGCCTCCATGTTCTCATCAAAAGTACTGTACTCGGGCAGAGCGTCGCGCAGATAAAAAAGGCTGTCATCTAGTCGTTTCTCCAGCCGCAGAACCTCCACCTTCTGGATGGTGGGATCATACAGCTCGTAGACTACCTCCATGCCCTGGTGATCGATGACGTTGCGCAGGACGAAGCGGGCGCGCAGTCCACAACGATCCCTATTGATGCAGATGCCCACAAATCGACTGGTCTTGCCGGCGGCATGTGGATCGGAACTGGTCACCGCCAGGACGGAGCCCACATAGAATTCGGGTAGATCGATCTGTTTACGCCGCTCCAGCATATCCAGGCGCTCCAGTTTCTCGCGGATGGGGTTTCTCCACTCCACCTTCGGATCGGGCAGGAATTCTGGGTAAACAAACCGATAATTTGCCGGAATAATGGGTTTTCGGGTCACAGGAGCTGGTGAAATGGGTGTGGCAGGTGGAGCCTCCCCTTTCTTCGATTCCTCCTGATTTTCAACAGCATGTTCCGCCGTTTTCGTGGAGAATGTGACTGAAAAATACGTTTCCTGAATGCGTGCCACTAAGCCAAATGTGAGTCCTTACCAATCCGCTTGTAGGCACATTGCTGCACCAATCTTTTCAGCATAACTCTAGAACTTAGGTTCATTTTTAACTAATTTACTGAGCCGCTGAAATAAATAAATGTTTAGATAATCATGCCGCACGATAATCAGCTGCTACCGAAGATGGCGATAACCGGGCTATCGATATTTTTCGTGATTGGACTAGAGCTGCCAACTTGGCTGGTTAAGAAAAGAATGTAACTGACTTTTGAAAATTTTTACCTTTTTCGAATTGAGATTTTTGAAAAGAAAATAACTTTTATATTTTTATTTTACATTTTTTTAGCTAGGACTACAATCTCTTTAATTGCCTGCCTCGCAAATAAAATAATACTTCTTTGATCCGATCCTTTCGAAGCTTTCCGTGGGTTCCTGTAGCTTTTCAGCGATTTCGTTAACTAAAGTCCCCACCTCCTTTAACTTTTCCACGAAGTCAACGGGATTGGACAAGATTCCATATGGAAAAAATGCAATAAATGCGAAAAATAGAATAGTTGAGTACTTCAACATCTTGAATTTGATTAAACAATGACGGATCTTAGCGAACCAAATCCATATTTATAGCATTCTGTGCGCTTTTGGGTACGTATTTTTTTTTCAAATTCTGCGGAATTTCCCTAGTCTTTAGGATTCAACAGAAACTTGCAGTTCTTTTGTTTAGCCTTAGATTCCAGTTATTCTGGAATTTCAGGCTTTCTTTCTTTCTAATTGATAATATACCAAAAAGGTAAATAATAAATTTAAACAGAAATATAATGTCTTAACGAAAAGAATTTATTTTCCTGGTGTTACAGTTTAATTTTGTAAAAGTATATTAACCATTTTAAAGGGGAATGATAAAGGATAAGAGTAAGTAGTAACTGGGGGAATTCCTGTAGGCGGTAAATGAATAGCCAGATGACGACTTTATGAGTCTGCCGCACGGCTAGCTTCCTAATCCTTGAGGATTTCGTTGACGGCGTTGACGACGTGGCGGGCAGAAATGCCGAACATGTCGATGAGGACGGAGGGAGGACCCGAGCGTGGCACGGTGGGCACGAACAGGTGCTTGACCACAAAGTTACGTTCGCCGGCCAGGGCACTGAGCACAGCCTCGCCAAGACCTCCTTGCCTGTAAAGGAGAATGAACAAACCCATTTAGCAAAGAAGTATCCTCAAAGGGTTACGTAAACAACTCACTGGTAGTGATCCTCCACGACGACCACACGTCCTCCGCACTGCTTTCCGTGCTCAATAATCAGCTCAGCATCCAGAGGCTTCACGGTGAACGGATCAATCACACGGACGGTGATGCAGTTCTTCTCCAGCTGATCGGCGGCAGCCAGACACTCGTACAAAGTGACACCCGCTCCGATCAGGAGCACCTCGTCGGAGCTCTTCTGGCGCACCACCTTGCCGCGTCCAATGGTGAAGGTTTCCTCGTTGTCGTAGATCACGCAGGTGTTGGGACGCGATGTGCGGATAAAGCAGACGCCCTTGGTATTGGCCGCCAGCTCCACGGCACGCTCCGTGCTCACCGCATCCGAGGGATAGAAGATGGTGCTGCCCGGAATTGTGCGGAACATGGCCAAGTCCTCCAGTCCCATCTGCGAGGGACCATCCTCACCGATGCTGCAGCCGCAGTGGGAGCCCACAAAGTTCACATTCGTCTGCGAGATGGCGCCCATACGGATCTGGTCGAAGGCACGGGTAAAGAAGGTGGCAAACGTGGACACGAAGGCCACAGTGCGGCGACGGCAGGCAGCGCCCACGGCCACGCCCACCAGATTCTGCTCAGCGATGAAGCACTCGATGTAGCGTTCGGGGTCGAGAGCCTTAAGCTTGTCCGAGAAAGTGGAATTCTTGGTGTCACCATCCAGGGCAATCACACGCTGGTTGTTCTTGCCGATCTTGGCCAGAGCTGTGCCATAGGCCAAACGGGTGGCAACCGAATCACCCAGCTTGTAGGCGGGAGGTGAGCTCAGCTTGACATTGCTGATGTCCACCTCGGGAGCAGCTCCCGTCTTGGAAACCGGCTTGGGGGTCAGCTTGACATCCTTGTTGACAATCAGACCCTGCAGATGCTTGACCACCTCGGCGGCCTTGTCTCCCAGCGGCTTGCCGTGCCAGTTGTCCAGATCCTCGATATTGGGGAAGTCCTTTCCCTTGAACGTCTTGGCAATGATGGCGGTGGGCTTGCTCTTGGTGATGGCAGCGCAATGGAAGGCTTTGGTCAGCTCCTCGACATCGTGACCATCGACAACGACAGCATTGAAGCCGAAGGCCTCCAGACGATCCCGGTACACATCCAGTTTGTGCTGCAGGGAGGTGGCCTCCGACTGACCCAGACGGTTCACGTCGAAGATCACGCACAGGTTATCCAGCTTGTAGTGGCCGGCAAAGTGCAGCGATTCCCAAACGGAACCCTCCGCGGATTCGCCATCGCCCACGACCACGTAGGTACGGTAGTCGGCCTTGTCGTAGTTCTTGCCCACATAGGCCATTCCAGCGCCCACGGCCACACCCTGTCCCAGGGATCCGGTGCCCACATCGATGAAGTTTAGACGGGGCGTCGGGTGACCCTCCAGATCGCTATCGATCTTGCGCAGGTTGTTCAGATCCTCGATGGGGAAGAGACCGGCCTCAGCCCAAGCGGCGTACAGAATGGGTGCCGCGTGTCCCTTAGACAGGATAAAGCGATCACTGGAGGGATCGCGAGGGTGCTTCAAGTTCAAACGCAGTTGCTGGAAGAACAGCACGGACATGATCTCGGCCAGCGAGGCACATGATGTGGGATGGCTATAACGAATGCAAATAGAGGTAAAACATTAGATTGTAGAATAAACTTTGTGCACTAAATTCTAGGTTAAGGCTGGTGTTTATTGAACCGTATTGGAAGTAGACCTTGTCAAGAGTCAATGAAGGGAAAGTAAGACTAAGCTTACATTTTAGCCATCCGTTGAAAGTCTACTCATATTTTTTTTTAATTCCAATATCTGGAGTATTCAATTTCAAAGTTTAAATAAGGTTCGGTCCATTTTGCAATATTTGAGTTCCCATGCGATCGTGTTTCGACAAATAAGATAAATACCGAAAGAGTAGTCTGTAAATTGCACATCTGGCACTACTCCAACCGCAAAAACACACAATCCCAGACCAAAAGGGGGGCTCGTCTTACCCCCAGACATATAAATAAACCATATCGCGTACACAACCGTACAAAAAGTATATGGTGTGATTTCATCGCCAGCTCCACACCGGTTTTTAGACCTTGGAACTTTTCCGATCGCCAAAATAAACCCAAACAAAAGCCTTAAAAAAAACACAAATTCTTGGGTTACACGATGGGGTCGCATGCACGTGTTCTTAGATAGTTTCCAAGTGCCTACCCATTTCCTCCGGCTGAATCAAGTACTAATGAAGGTGATACTACGGAGTGTCAGCAGTGACCCGGCTCGCTTATTTTATCAATTTTCCGTGATTTTCGATTATCATGCAGGGAACACACTTGAGCTGGTCACCTCTAATCGGTCATATCGTTGCCAGTGGGTAACGAAAACCAAACGCGGCTTATCTCGCCGGCAGAGGTCACATTTAGAGCAAACAGAGTAGATCTTATCTTAAACTGACACGAAAAAAAATGAAAAAAACTAATGGAAGCGATAAAAGTGTTTGCCTTATCAGCGTACTCTATTTTTATTTACTGTTGCAGTAACAATTTAGTCGCGTCTATCCGTGATATAATTACATTAAAAGCCATAAGGTCGTAAATTTCAAGTGTAGGGGATCATTCCATTACTATCTCCATCCCTTTCATTCCCGTCACAAGCTGTGCTTTCCAACACTCGAATATGTATGTATAAGAATGCCGCTGTTTTATGTACATATGTATATATTTATGTATGTTTATATACGCCATGTGTGTTTGTGTGTAATGACGACGTCGGCTTTTTGAAAGCCACGCACAAAAACAAAACAAAAATTTAAAAGCAGTAAGCTAAATGTTTCAAGGTTGACTAAGGTCAAAAAAATATAAACTCAGAAAATGAGGTGAATGCGGCTTATCAGTAGGCACGCAAACAAGACGAAAAATTCGCGAATTAACAAGTTACTAGAAAACACGTGGCTTGGCAACTCATGGATGGGGTGAGGGGGTGCTTTTTAAGGAACCGGTCTCCACAAAATTTTCTATACATATGTATGTATGTTTATGTGAAAGTTGCATTCATAATTACATTTCATTTAATTTATTCAAATCTCCAAAAAGAAATTTTAAATCCCCTGGAAAACGTTTCTATAGCCACCCCTTGAACAGTTGGGTCACCTTTGAAGCAACAAGTGCAAGGTGCACAACTTTTAAAATTCGCAGCTCACACACATCTAAATGCACACTTTAATTTACTAATGGGTTTATTCGTTTGCTTACCCCGATTTGGAGGCCTGGGTAGCGTTGATGGAGTGAATTCGCAGCTTCTGGGCCAGATCCTTCAGATCCTGCACGGTCTTAGCTTCGGGCTTGTGGTACGACATCTTACGAAAATTTTTTGTATTTACGGGATCGTTGTAAATGTGATTTTTTTCTTTAAACTCTTGTACAAAGGCCCTCAAGAGTTTCGGATTCTTTAGCCAAAGGGTGACGCCTCTATATTTGCACGACACAGACAAGAGTTTGGACGTGGTGTCGGAGCTGGAATCGGATTTATAAACGGACCGCTGCAGCCGGCTTTTGAAAACGAAATGTTCTCGTCGCCGGTGCCTCGGTCCCTTTTACGCTGTGGGGGCTCAATCTTGGGGAGTGCTCGCAACGTCAAACTCGTTGCTCTGGTACCGCTCTACTTGTCAGCGCTGGAGCGAGATGGATATATGAACAACGTCAGCTTGGCTCCGCACCCTCTTATCTGAGCACAACTGCGGATAGATATCTAGTAGTGATCGGCATTGCAACGAATACATAAGACAGTTTTTGTGTTGAGCTATATCTCTGTGTAATAGTTTAAATTTAAAAGTTCTCAGACTAGACCTCCGCTACTTTGAAATATAAATTGAAGATTTTCTACAAAAGATATTTATAATTAACCTTATAAAAATAAAACTACAATACTTATCCGTATAAAACGACGTTTACTCGTGTGAATAAAAAAAATTGATTTGTCAATGCATTATGCATTACTGAAACGTAAGTAATTGTCGTGTAATGAAATTTCTGTGGTTTAACAGATTGAAAACTTTCAATAACACATATTCATATGACCCCATTTGTAAGTCAAAGACAGTTTCAAAAAAGAGAGTGCTCTGAAGCAACAGTTTAAATAAGAGTACTGCTAAACGTTCTCTTTTGCTCGCTCTTTGTTACTTTCCCCTTCTCGCTCGCGAACAAAAAGCGAATTTGCCGCCAACAAATTCAACCTTCGATAGCTCAGTTGGTAGAGCGGTGGACTGTAGTTGGAAAACATGCATTAGAAATCCATAGGTCGCTGGTTCAAATCCGGCTCGAAGGATCGAAAGAACGTATCAATTTTTTTTCATAGTACTTAGTTTAAAATCTCCTTTTTTTACTGTACCGATTAATTGGTAAATAAAAAAAATTGCGTTGAACGGATATATAGAGAGAAATACATAAAAGATAAGAACTAAAATAACAGACAATTATTTTCGAGTTTGGTAAACTTCTTACTACCAAGTAGAAAGGTCTCAAAAAAGAAGCAATCTTTTGAAATACATTAGGTTTCACTTAAAAGTTAAAACACCTTAACATATAATATTGAAAGATTTACATTGACTGAGTCAAATCCACGGAAAATCCGTACATGCCCGTTATTTTGGAGAAACATTTTCGAACTTGGCAACTATAAAAATAATCGAGTGCTCCAAAAGATTGCACTAAGTTGAACCAAATGAACTACATACATATATGGAAAAGTAAGCACTGTACTGTTTGGAAACTCATCCTTCCGTTTACACGTATGCAGAAAACTCACTTTGGCCGTCAGTAATTTTAACCTTCGATAGCTCAGTTGGTAGAGCGGTGGACTGTAGTTGGTATAATGCAATAGAAATCCATAGGTCGCTGGTTCAAATCCGGCTCGAAGGATTCGAAAGATAGTAAATTTTTTATTTGATAGAAATCTTCCAAAGTTTTTAATTTATTAATTAACACACTCATTTTTTTATATTTAAAACATTTAAATTATTAATAAAATAAATAATGTATGAAAGACGAACGGAAAAAAAGGTAATATAATAGAAATCAAAACAAATAGAATTTAAGTATGAACTTTAAACAAAAAGTAATTTCTCTCTTATATGGTTAGGATCTGTAGAAAAAGTAAACTACCACTACTATCATCTTGGACAAAAATGGCCTTGCCTTTAATAAATTTAAAGAAATTTAAAAACCAAAGTAAAGTTGACCAACATAATATTCCGTGTCTACAGTCCGGTCGCGATATCCGGATACCCGGTCTTAAACCTACACCCCAGCACGCCCCCTTCGATAGCTCAGTTGGTAGAGCGGTGGACTGTAGTTGGAAAACATGCAATAGAAATCCATAGGTCGCTGGTTCAAATCCGGCTCGAAGGATTTTTTGTTTTTTTTTTGTTGTTCAAATGGCAATTAAATGTATTTCTAATAAAGTTTATATAATTTCAATAATTTTACCGATTTCTACATTACCTTGTCCGTATGTGCTATATTAACGCTCCCAAATTTAATTCTTATTGATGTATCACAAGAAATTTAGATGCTTATGTTGAACGCTATTTTCAAATAATGTAAGTCAATAATTTTAAATTTTGTTGAATTTGGTCAAAAACAAAAAGCATATCTTGATTCCAGATTTTCTTGTTTCAGTTCCTATTGCTTTAGAACCAAATTTTCCACTTATTTTATTAGAAACTTAAAATTGTTATATAGCTGCAGATAAACAGATTTCATTTAATAATTTAGCGTGTCATTTTTATTTTTTTTATGCGTACAAGTCAATCTTTGTCACAAATACAAATAATATGCAGATCCTATAGTTAGAACGGACTTATGAATATCAACTTTTGCCCGCTGTTTCCTGTCTTAAAGATTCAACTAATGCATAAATTAGTAAGCAAAATAGTCAACGTTAACAATAGTTAGTTTCAAATATACAGTTGTTGCACTTAGTTGACGCCCGTCTTAATACCAACTTGGTGCAACGCTTGCTGCATTAAATACGAATTTATAAAAATAGGCATTATTTTTGTATTTATGTTCTTATGTTTGCTAATCGGTAATTAAATCTAAACAACATTATGTTTTTGTGCACACTTTTCATCCAAGTACAGTAAAAGCTGCTGCGAGTGCACGATCTGTCAGTGTTGGCAGCACATTGATCAGCTCAGCTAAATCGTAATTTTTATTTATGGTATTGTACAAGCGGATTCAAAATAAATTACAAAATAATTGCATCAACAAAATAAAACAAATGCTTACAAGGGATTTACAAACAAGTGGACAATCGTTGTACGAAGTTAGCAAAATAAATTACAATCGAAAAAACAATATCACTAGCTAAAAAGCGTTTGAAGAGTGTACGAAAAACGGAAATAAATTATAATACAAAATCGATGAGTGGTCGTTGATTGGCTTAGACTCAGTCCAGGGCGATGCCCTGTATCCAGGCGCTCAGATCGCTGCCGTCTGACTCCATGATGATTTCGTCGGGCTCCTCGCTAGCCAACAAATGCTGTGCTGCCGTCCGTCCGCTTAAATAGGCGCCGTGTACAGTGGAGTAAAAGCTGGAATGGGTGTGCTCGCCGGCAAAGACTATGGCGGGCTAAGAAGATATATAACAAATATAAGTAAAATTTTGATGAGCACATTGTTTGCGGAACCCACCTTCATGGCCTGGGGCGTGGCATATAGGGGCTGGGCAAGATTTTCTATATCTTCCTGAGTAGCCCCCACAGGTATCGATGTGTACGCCCCACCGGTAAAGTCCTGTGACTTCCAACTGGTGCTAAAATGGAAAGGTACACTTTTATACCAGATTCTATGAGACTAAGTAAACTGACTTACCACACACATCGCTTTGGTTTGGGCACATATGGATCCTGAAGAAAATTCCTCAGTATTTCCGTGCACTTTTCCGCCACTACCTCGTGGGAAAGTGTCTCCATGTACTCCGCCTCCCGTCCAGAGACCCAGCCCAGGAGCAACGTGTCCGTCATCTTGGCAAACGAATAGATCTTCTTGAACCAATTCTTGCTGAGATAATCCTCGCTGGCCAGTTCCTCCTCGGAGCTGTTCATGTCCCGCTTATCGTCGTCCCAAAGCAGCATAATCTCTGATATATCGGCACTGAGGAACGGCCGGTCGTACTCCAAGAAGATTTTGTCAACGGTGCCGAACATGAGATTCTCGATGGACTCCTGTTTGTACTGGGGCAGCACAGGATCGAAAAGCGTGCGATGAGTTTCTTTCAGCACGCCCAGCGGTATGGTGCATATCACATGAGATGCATGGAACACTCGACCGTCCTCGCAGTCCACGCGCACATTGCCTGCAGGATAATCACAATTGCTGCTAGAGTTTGACTCCTCGGACCCGCCACGGTGTCCTCCCGTGGGCACTTCCGTCACCGTTCGCTCCGAGTCGTCCGAGTGCTCATCCTCTGAATTCTCGTCGACGGTCTCCAGGCCGGTGAAGGTCTTTTTCCGCTTCCAGTGGATTTTCTTCACCGGACATTTGGTCAGGATGGACTGCTTGGGTATCTGGGCGCCCAGCGGTCGCAGGATGGAGCTGTAACCAGAGGGCAGCACTATGTTGCCTCCCTGTAGCTCCGTGTAGCTGCCTGTAAGGGAAGATTTTTGTTTTAATTTAATGGTTTATACTTTTCTATGGTATAGTTCTAACCGAGCTCGAGGAGATCCACCTCATTCATGTTGTTGCAGCCGGTTATGCAGGTCTCTCTCTTCAGCAGGCAGTTGAAAATGGACTGCTTGAGGCGCTTTTCCTTGGGGTCCTGCACTCCACTCAGATAAATCTCAATTTCGTAGTTTATGTGCTCGCCCACACTGTGTATATCCGGCGGCGGACTGTACTGACAGAGGAAGTACTCGTCGCAGCGCCTTAAAAAGCAGACGTACGCCTCGTAGATCTCCTGTAGTATGCTGAACGGCACCTGGTGTCCGTTCTCTGTGGTGGCCACCACCTTGTGCGGCTTGGGAACGTTGACCACGCTGACTAGACCATGCTGCACGGCCAGCTCGAAGATGGGGTTGCCCAGGACACCGTGTATCCAATTGGCGCCCAATTCAACCTGTGAGATAAATGTGAGATAATTTAGTCAAGTTTATTTAGCAAATTCAAGTTGGAAAATAAAATAGATTAATGCCTTAAACTTGCCAGTGATAAGCAGATAAAAACTGACCTAGACTATTAAATATTTAAGGGGCATTTCTGCGGTTAAGTAAATAATCTTTAATTAAAAGGGTATTTATAATGAAATCATTGATGAACATGATGATGATTTAAATTTGTAAAAATATTTAAAAATAAGTTGTCCTATACATAAGTAAGCCCTATATATAAGACTACGTGATCGTGGGAGCGCAAACCCGTGAGTTTATTAGGGCATTGCACTAGAAACGTCATCGTTGGCTTAATTCAGAAAAACCATATCTAATCTGGCCAAACGTTGCCAAAGAAAGTTGTATAACAAATTCCTCGATAAGGTACCGGTGTAAACTATGAAAATAAACAGAAGAAAAGCATAATGCAGAGAATTCTGAAAATTAAAAAGCATGCCGGATGTATTTAAATTAATTAAGTGGCCCCAAAGGGGACATGAACGTATGCTACAAATTGAACTAACAATAGTCAAACCAGGAACAGGAATATATATATAAAAATAGCATCAATGAGAAACGTGAACAGCTGACCGACTGCGCAGTGCTTGGAAAAATCTATAATCAACTTGGGACTCGGGGCAAAGAATCTGTTACAACATGAGGAACGTTTTTCCTAACCAAAGGTATTACCTTATATTACGAAAGGGCAGTATATGGTTTGTTTTGGTTCTTGAGCTTGGGGTTATATAACGATTAGGTACCTTCTGATTATTGCTGAGCGGTATGGACACTATGCGTCCGCCCACCCGGCCCCTTGCCTCCAGAATCACGAAATCCTCGCAGCCGTTTTGCAGGAGATGATTTGCCGCTGATAGTCCGGCCATTCCGGCTCCGATGATCACGATCTTCACGTTGGTATTGCCCGCCGCAGTTTGGGGTTGATCCCCGGCTCCAGCAGCCCCAATATTGGCCATTCCCTCCTCGGTGGGCGAGGGAGCGGGTGTTACGGGCTCCTCCTTGTCGCCCATTGTTACACTTTGTTTTCTTTGTACATATGCGAGTGAGTTGTGTTCCCCTTGCTGTTTATTTATATTTTATTTAGCGTTTTTCACGCCTCATTTCACTTTTTCTGCACTTTTTTTGGTGGCGAGTCGGGCGACTGTTTTGACGTTTATTTGACAGCAGATGTTGCGGTTGGGGTATCAGCAAATAGCTGTTCGTCTTGGTGTTATATTTATGTTTTTGGTTAAAAAACATTGTCAATTAAGAGTTTGGCTTCATATTTAGTAAGCTTCTAACTAACTTCTATTTAAAAATAGGTTTTTATTGAAAGTTTTTATGAAAACTTTATTCACAGCTGTTGATTAGGGTGTTGCCATACTTAATTTTGTAAAGGTAAACAATACATCTGGCACTTTGCAGCACTAAAATATAAATACCCATTTTTTATTATTAATACTAAATTAAAAAAAGTTACATTGTAATATTCATTTTTTAGTTAATACTAAGTCTTTTTAAATTACTACTCTAAAATACTCTACATAAACTTTTTCAAATTCTTTTTACTGATTTTGAAACACACACACACACTTGAATCCGATAAATCTAAACACTTGTTATCGCCCACCTGCCAGCACTAGCAGAGCTGCCAGAAAGTTCGAACTGTGTACACAAATTGCTCGCTGATAAAAACACAAATTGTGTAAATAATTGCTTGCTATTTGCAAAGTTATCACTAATTTCCGATAAAAGAGGAAGATATGTGATTGGCAAGCGCTTTGGTTAAGTAAACCCCGTTAAGATGGCCGACGCCTACTGCCTGACGAATTTTATTGATTTTTCGCTGTCGCTGTCGCTGCCGCTGAAACACCACAATCGCATCAAGGTGAGCACTCCAATCCAAAGCAATCCCACCTGTAATTTGATAGCAGGCCACCCACTGATATGCACCCTCTCCCCCCGTTGCAGTATACCTGCTTCGACATCTCCGACAGCTATATCATTTTCGGGGCCTCATCCGGATCGCTGTACCTGTTCAATCGGAACGGCAAGTTCCTGCTCTTGATACCCAACAAACATGGAGCAATCACCAGTCTCAGCATTTCGGCGAATAGCAAATATGTGGCTTTTGCGACGCAACGATCGCTGATCTGCGTCTACGCTGTGAATTTGTCCGCCCAGGCGACACCGCAGGTGATATTCACGCATCTGGACCAGTCGGTGCAGGTGAGCTGCATCCACTGGACGCAGGACGAGAAGCAGTTCTACTATGGCGACTCCCGCGGACAGGTCAGCCTGGTCCTGCTCTCCTCGTTCATCGGACACAGCCTGCTGCTCAACATGACCGTGCATCCGCTGCTCTACCTGGACTCCCCCATCGTCCAGATCGACGACTTCGAGTCCCTGCTGCTGGTGTCCAACTGCACCAAGTGCATACTCTGCAACACAGAGTACGAGGAGTACAAGCAGGTGGGTCCTGTATTTATAAGATTTAATTTATATTTTTATTTATTTATATTTCTTGTGTAAACTAAAGCCCAGCCATAGCTACTTTCTTAACATTATTATCTACGCTTAATTAATTTAACTTAGTTTATTTCATATTAATTATATAATATGAATATATCAGGTGTTTATATTAATTTTTCATCATTTTCTGAACATTTCAGATAGGGAACCGTCCGCGGGATGGCGCCTTTGGAGCCTGCTTTTTCGTCTCGCCACAGGAGTCTTTGCAGCCGTCTCGAATCTACTGCGCCCGACCTGGCAGTCGCGTTTGGGAGGTGGACTTCGAGGGCGAGGTGATCCAGACACACCAATTTAAGACTGCCCTGGCCACCGCACCTGCGAGAATTCAGCGACCTGGCAGCGGCACCGATGAAATGGATGCAAATACCGAGTTGCTGGACCATCAGCCGCAAAACCTGCAGTTCGCCAAGGTGCAAAGGCTAAACGAGGACTTTCTGCTGGCCTTCACGGAGCTGGGACTGTATGTGTTTGATGTGCGGCGCTCGGCTGTGGTGCTTTGGTGCAATCAGTTCGAGAGGATCGCCGATTGCCGCTCCTCGGGATCGGAGATCTTTGTGTTTACCCAGTCGGGTGCACTTTACAGTGTCCAGCTGCAGACGCTGCAATCGCACGCCGTTTCCCTAATACAGCAATCCAAATTGCTGCCCTGCGCGAATCTACTGCGCCAGCATGTGCGATATTTTGCGGACAAGGCTCGCGAAGATTACGAGTTGAAGCAGCTGAATCCACTGAAGCAGCTGCTTATCGAACGGCAGGAGTACGAATTGCTGAACGATATATCCGTGATTTTCGATGCCATTACCCAGTGCACGGGTAGTGCTTTGGATACGCAAAGTTCGGGAGGAAGTTCGGCCACCACCGAGCGCAGTCTGAGCGGAGGAAGTTCAGCGAAAGCGCCGCCCAAAGGAGTGTACGTTTTGGAGAACGCCTTCTGCGACAACCTGAAGCAGCCGCTGAAGTCGGGACACTTCAAGGATGCCCTGTTGACGGTAACTGGTAAATTCGGCAAGAACATCATTAAGTACAAGTTCAATATTTTCGCCGAAGAGCAGCAGCAGTTGGTCAGAGAACTGATTCCGGCCAGCGAACGTTCGTTGCCCTTCAAGGACATCAAGGCGCGCTACGAATCGGGAGCCGATGATCAGGAGGAGGAGATTGTGAGCCGCTGCAGAAGGCCGGCACCCCAGGCTCCGCACATCAGTCCCGAGGAGAAGACCCTCTACAATCTCTACCTGATCGCCAAGAGCGCCAAGTTCAGTCGGACGCAGTGTGTGGATCGTTATCGGGCGGTTTTCGATGAATATGCAGCGGGGGAGCTGGTGAATCTGCTCGAGAAATTGGCCAAGGTGATGGTGGAGCATGGTGATACAGCGGATCAGGCGCGACGCAACTGCTACGAGATGTACTTCGATTACCTGGATCCGGAGCTAATCTGGGAGGTGGACGACGCCACGCGGGATCACATAGCCGCAGGCTTTGTGCTGCTCAATGCGCCCGAAAATGCGGAGATTGTAAAGTGTGAGCACTGCTCCTTTCCCCTCCGTTTCGACACATCCTGTCAGTATCATGAACTGGGAGCGGTGCTCCTGCGATATTTCTGGTCCCGCGGCGAGCAACTCAAGTGCTTCGATGTGGTGCAGTCGGTTCCGGCGCTACTGGATGTCTTGGCTAAATTCTACCTGGCCGAACAGAATCTCACCAAGGTGGTGGCCATCGTCCTCAACTACGGACTGCCGGAACTTCTGGCGGACGTGGGCAAACAACTGAGCGTTGGAGCTTGGGGTCGATGCTTTGAGCAGTTCGTGGAGCTCCAACGTGGGCGACTTGTGTGCGCCAATTGTGAGTGCATCTCTGGGGTGGAACAGGAGCAGCTGGGCCGCCACTTCTTCTACAACTGGAACTGCTTCCTCAATGTCGCACTGGATCACATGGCCGCCGGAGACACGCTGGCGTTGATCTTCAAGTGGAGCTCGTACATTCCAAACGACGCCATCGACCGGGAGTTCTACTCCCGCTGCCTGCTCAAGGGCTAAACGATCGGACATTATTAAATATATACCATACTATATAGCCATATTTATTGTTCCACTATATAATCTCAAGCTAAGGCCAATACCAAAAGCATTTATTCTATATAAAATTGTACACCCACGATATGTATATTACAAATACGAAAGTGCATGAATTATATTCGAGCGTTCGAGACTTCGAAAAGGTTTTTACTTCTAATCATTTTTTGGGGAGTAATACTTTCTGAGGATTTTGTCGTTTCAATTGTTCACTGTCTTAAGTGAGCCCTTTATTTATGATCTAACATTGCCTTTTGCTTCAAATTGAAAAAAGGGGAAAGGTAAAACAACTACACCTAAACATAAACACAAACATTTTTGGCCAAATTGATACAAAATTTCAACTGCCCAGCCTTATTTCTCTTCCATTTCAAAAACTAAACAGCCTAGAAGATATCGACGCCTCGAAAAAGCAAAGACAAACCACATACCATTTGAATTCGATAGTCCGCGAAGTTAGCGCAGCGATCTGGCAACGCCCGTGTCCAACATTCCAGGGTCGTGTCCCTGCTAGCTGTCCGGCGCCACAGCCCCAGGGTTGAGTCTATAACTTTTCCCAGTGCACCTATCGATTACTCATCGATATATATATTTTCACAACCCTAATTTTTAGACACGCGTCTGAAAGCGGAAAAAAACGTGAACTCGTCGGAAAAGCAGCATTTTTCAAGCCCAGAGCGCTTGTAATTGTAATTGTTGGCACAAGCAGGCCAGCCAAATCCGATACGGAAACGTCTCAGTTTCAAGCCGAACAAAGGAAATCTGTGCGAAGAACAAAAAGAACTGAAAAAAGTACAGAACAGACCCCTTAAATTTCACATGAGAACGCAGTAGCTTGTGGAACGTAAGAAGTTTTGTCGGAAAAACTAAGGAAAAACGTATAGACACCAAGTGCAACACCAACACAACGATCGTATACATTTTTTTGTCGCAAATTGCAAGTGTGCACCCTAAAATAAAAAACCGAAGAGTAACCATTGCAAAATTTTCCTAAACGGAAAGCAAGAAATAAAAAGCAACTGATTGGAGGATAATATGAGTAATGCTATCAACCAAAATGGCACAGGTCTAGAGCAGCAAGTAAGTAGAGTTATAAAGTGGTGAAAATACATACTACATATACATATATATAAGAAAAGTACATATATACAATGAGTGAGTGCGTGTGTGTGAGTGATGCTCATGCGGCTATTGGAAAAAGTTCGGCTAGAAATTTATTGATTTCATAACACACCAATGTCTCTATTGCTCATTTACAACTGCCTATGACGTCCATGTGGATTATGTTTGAATGTATGCGTCTGGGTTCTTCTTCGTCATTCCAATTTGTAATTTCTTTTGTATAATTTTTGCTCGCTTGCCTCCAATTTGACATGTATATTATATGCATATGAAAGTTTCCACTCGGCCTCCCAAGTTTGTGTGCGTGTGCGAGTAGTGTCGCTGTTCTAAGGCTGACCGTGTGTGTGTGTCATAACTCACTCTCTCGCTTGCGCGCACATGTGGAAGCTGTTGTAAACAGGGTTGCCAGGGGTGGCGATGTGGTGATTAATTTCAAGGGTGATTTGGCAAAAAAAAACTAATCTAAACGATTTTCACTAGTGCCCATTGCGTTTAAAAGATGAACAATAAGTTCAATGATATTAAATTCATATCTTACTGTTCAGTTTTAATAGTTCATTTTTTTTATGGATTGATTTGCTATCGTTTCAACGTTTCATGAAACAGTTTAACATATTTCATATTCCAATGAACTTTCTATGTATTTTAAAAAGAACCTCAGTTCACTAACTAATTCTTCGCACTCGTCACAACTGCTATAAATTTTAAAAAGATTTTGTTTGAAGTTCAAGGATGTTGGTCTTTCACGACCAAAAGAATATTGGGATTCCCCCGAATTTAAATTAAAAGAATTTCATGAAAGAGAATAATGGGTGAATGAGAGCAAACTATTTAAGCTTTATCGTTTTGTCCATTGCAATTATTTTCGTGGAGAGTTCTTTGAACACGTTCCACATTGTTTTCATTTGGATTCCACAACCGGGCTTAGTGTTCTACCACTACGGCTGCGATTTATTTACCCATGTGTGGGTGGCTCTTTCACGTGTTGTTTTTGTTGTGTTGCTAGGCGGCCCCTCTTTGTGTAATAAGCTGCCGCTAAGTGCGAGGGAGACGGTTACAAACGGAGAGCGGCGCCGCTGGTGACGAAAAGAATACGAAAAATTCAAATTCAAAGCTTTAAACTAGTTGCGCCTCTCTCTCTCTCTCTTGTATTTATTCCAGAGATTTGCACGTATGTACATATTTATACACGTTGCACTGGAAAGAAGAAGCGGTAAATAGCACATGTTGCTAAGCGGGAACGGTGAAGTTTACGAAGTTCTGGAGTAGATTCCCACAGGGAAATCAGAAACCAATCCGTTGAACTTGAACAATTCATTGCACTTCCATTTTAATGTGGTGGTTAACAGCTGGAAATATAATAGCAAACAAATAGCTATTCCAGAGAAATGGCGTATATGTATATGTTTTAAAAACATTGTTATTGTAAGTTTTTTACATATGTGTGCGTGGATTTTATTCTTATCTGAAATGCACTTTGTTCTATTCCTACAAATTCATTTAAAAGCGTTGTAGAGAAAGATGATCCGAAAAACGTATATTTTAAAGTGGGTTTAATTTAAATTTATGTGTGTGTTTCATTCTTTGTGTTTGATGAAACTATTGTAAATATTCTGTTAATATTTTCTATAAGGGCTTTTATTCAAACAAAGACTAACGATTCTCTCTATGTCATTTGCAGGTTGCTGGTCTGGACTTGAATGGCGGCTCTGCTGACTACAGCGGCCCCATAACAAGCAAGACTTCCACTAACTCGGTCACCGGTGGTGTGTATGTGCCCCCGCATCTTCGTGGTGGTGGTGGCAATAACAACGCAGCGGACGCAGAGAGCCAGGGCCAAGGACAGGGCCAGGGCTTCGACTCGAGAGCCGGGAATCCGCGCCAGGACAGCAGGGACCCGCAGCAGCCGCGTGGAGGTGAATACCGCAGGGGCGGCGGCGGCGGAAGTCGCGGCTTCAATCGCCAGAGCGGCGACTACGGCAGTTTCGGAAGCGGCGGCGGCGGCGGTGGACGACGTGGAGGAGGTCGCTACGAGGACAACTACAACGGTGGGTTATACAGTAGTCACATATATTTTTTTGTGCCTCAGCGTATAATAAAATAGAAACTTAGGGCATAAAGAATGTCAAGATCATGCACAAAATTGTTGAACTTTAAAAGTGGTACAGTCAAGTCAGTTGTTTTGTAAATTCTGCCAATGTCATTTTGCAATTCGTAGAATACTTTTTAAACAGTAGTTCTCTCTTATATCTGTCAATCATACATACACCAAAATTCGATAAAACAAATGTTTCAACACACTAAAAACTCAAACAAAAAAAAAAATTGTGCAGACAAATGGAGTAATGTTTTGCCAATTTTTGTATCCTTGACTATTTCCATTCTTATATAGTTTATTAATACAATTATCTTAATCCCCTACAGGTGGTGAATTCGACTCGCGTCGCGGCGGTGACTGGAATCGCAGCGGAGGCGGAGGAGGAGGACGCGGCTTTGGACGTGGACCCTCGTACCGCGGAGGTGGCGGCGGAAGCGGAAACGCCCTTAACGAGCAGACTGGCGAGGATGGCCAGGCACAGCAGCCGCAGCAGCCACGCAATGATCGCTGGCAGGAGCCGGAGCGTCCGGCCGGATTTGAAGGCGGCGAGGGCGGACATTCCGGCGGCGGCGGCAACAGAAGCTTCAACAATCGCGGCGAGCGCGGTGGCGGCGGCGGAGGAGGCTACAATAGCCGCTGGAAGGAGGGCGGCGGCGGCAACATCGACTACACAAAGCTGGGCGCCCGAGACGAGCGCCTGGAGGTGGAGCTGTTCGGCGTGGGCAACACGGGTATCAATTTTGACAAATACGAGGATATACCCGTGGAGGCGACGGGCCAGAATGTGCCCCCGAACATCACATCGTTCGATGATGTGCAGCTGACGGAGATTATCCGCAACAACGTGGCCCTAGCACGTTATGACAAACCGACACCGGTGCAGAAGCACGCCATTCCGATCATCATCAACGGCCGGGATTTAATGGCCTGCGCCCAGACCGGATCTGGTAAGACGGCCGCCTTCTTGGTGCCGATTCTTAACCAAATGTACGAGCACGGGCACTCGGCTCCGCCGCAGAGCAACCGGCAGTACAGCCGACGCAAGCAGTATCCGCTGGGTCTGGTGCTGGCACCGACCCGCGAGCTGGCCACCCAGATCTTCGAGGAGGCCAAGAAGTTCGCCTACCGCTCCCGGATGCGTCCGGCCGTGCTGTACGGCGGTAACAATACCAGCGAGCAGATGCGCGAGTTGGACCGCGGCTGTCACTTGATTGTGGCCACACCCGGTCGCCTGGAGGACATGATCACGCGCGGCAAGGTGGGACTGGAGAACATTCGTTTCCTGGTCCTGGACGAGGCAGATCGCATGTTGGACATGGGTTTCGAGCCACAGATCCGTCGCATCGTCGAGCAGCTAAACATGCCGCCAACCGGACAGCGTCAGACGCTCATGTTCTCGGCCACATTCCCTAAGCAAATTCAAGAGCTGGCCAGCGATTTCCTCAGCAACTACATTTTCTTGGCCGTTGGTCGCGTGGGCTCCACCTCCGAGAATATTACACAGACGATCCTGTGGGTCTACGAGCCCGACAAGCGCTCGTATCTGCTGGATCTCCTCTCGTCGATTCGCGATGGCCCCGAGTACAGCAAGGACAGCCTGACGCTCATCTTTGTGGAGACCAAAAAGGGTGCGGACTCGCTGGAGGAGTTCCTGTACCAGTGCAACCATCCCGTGACCAGCATCCACGGTGATCGCACCCAGAAGGAGCGCGAAGAGGCGCTGCGCTGCTTCCGGTCGGGCGACTGCCCCATCCTGGTGGCCACGGCTGTGGCCGCCCGAGGTCTGGACATTCCGCACGTGAAGCACGTCATCAACTTTGACCTGCCCTCGGATGTGGAGGAGTATGTCCATCGTATCGGACGTACCGGCCGCATGGGAAATCTCGGTGTGGCCACCTCCTTCTTCAACGAGAAAAATCGCAACATTTGCTCGGATCTGCTGGAGCTGCTGATCGAGACGAAGCAGGAGATCCCCAGCTTCATGGAGGACATGAGCACGGATCGCGGTCATGGCGGAGCCAAGCGGACCGGACGAGGCGGTGGTGGACGTTATGGAGGCGGCTTCGGATCCAGGGATTACCGTCAAAGTTCTGGCGGCGGTGGAGGCGGTGGCGGACGCAGTGGTCCCCCACCACGCAGCAGTGGCTCTGGATCCGGAGGAGGCGGTGGCAGCTACCGCAGCAATGGAAACTCGTACGGTAAGTTCGGTGAGTGTGGAACCATCCATCAGATGCTCCCAGTTTTTGAAGGGCCTACTAAAGAGTGATGTCTTCTGGTTTAAGGTGGCAGCTCGGGCGGTGGTGGATACTTTGGCGGTGGCGCCGGAGGGGGCTCCTATGGCGGCTCCTACGGTGGCAGTGCCGCGCACTCGAGCAACGTTCCCGACTGGTGGGCTCAATGAGCAAGGCCTCAGCTTCAGGCAAAGGTCCTGGGCCAGCAGCAGCATCAGCAGTCGTCGCATCGAAGCCACTTTCGCAACTAACCAAACGGAGAAAAAAACAAAGTCGATAACAACTATATATATATGTGCACACACGTATACTATATGGGAACAGCAAATGTGAAAGAGAAACTGTCTGTGCGCAGCGCAACACAAAACACGAAAATACAGAAAAGATACACTGATGCACCCTCCACCCTCGTTTAACAATTCACACCTCTCTCACAACCTCAAAACCAGGAGCCAGCATTAATAATAAATTGTGCAAATCCATCGCGAAAGTATATTACATTCATGTATAGCCAGCTCCCCAAAAACCCCAGGCCCTATTCCCATCCCCCCACCACCACATCCATCTTTATTTTTTATTGAATCGATGCGTATAGTTGAAGGATATGCAAACATACATATTACAAATATGCTAAACAACCACAAATATTAAGAATATTTAAGCAACTGATACAATTTTGAATTTTTGTCCATAAGTTACACTTCTCACACATCATTTTTCTTGGAATTCTTAAAATACAAATATATATAGACATATATACGGTCGATATCGGATCAAGACGATACATGCGCAAATCCTTGAACTTCAATTGATGATTTTAAACGAAGAAAACATAAAAATAGTAATGATATATTTAAAAGAAAATATATAAATCGAGATATAATGTACTATATGAAACGAGAAACCAACAAACAAAAAATAATTAAAAAACAAAGTTTGCTAAACTTAAAATTAATAATTTAGCAAATGAAAAAAAGAGCTCGACTAGTCTTGTTTTTATCTTGATTTTAAGCTCTCTGGCTGGGATATTTCTATGGGAAACGTAGATTTTATTATCTTTTAATGTCAACGTGGGACATACACACTCCAATACCGTCAATATTTTGTTTGATTAAGATTTATTTACTTATTGCTATCAGCTTTTAAATTAACACCACTACCGATAAGAATTGGCATGTTACTTTTTTCTATTTTGAGTCCATAGTTAACCAAGCGTTGCGATCCATTACACTTCGGTTATTTTTGTTACGCAGACCTAATTATATAAATTTGTTAATCTCCCTCCCGTTCAACGTATTTATCTACCCGTACTTGAATAAATTATAAGCGTCATATCCATAGATCAGGTTAGTGACCCTTTAGTAGCTTCTCAGAGAGCTTTGTCACCTGTTTTCCACCACAAAAGCTTAAATTATGCACTTTTTAGCAATCAGCCTAATTGTAACTGAAAATTGAGGGGAGAAAATGTGCAAAAAAAAAAATGGAAATGCAGCAAGCAGCGAGGAAGATGTGACGATCGTGTTTGTTTGCCTATCCGCTCACTAATTAGATTAGATTAGGCAAGTTTATTAGTTTCCTCTGATGTTTTCTGGAGGCCAGGGGAGCTCGTCGATTCTTTGTTTGTCAGATAAATTTACTCGGAGAGCTTTGCTTGTCGGTCGGTGGTTGGCATTTTAAACAGAGACTAGGCCACACCTTGTTGTTTAGCATTTCGGAGATCAGTCGGAATTTTGGGTGCCTTGTTTTGCGGATCTCAGCTGTGTCAATTTCAGGCCTCCACCTCAAACACACCAAGCATGCAGAAGCCACAGCATGGAATGTGCTGGATGTTGCTCCTTTTTGGATCGCTGATCGCTAGCTTTATGCTTGCCTTCAGCTACTGGATGTTTGTGCCCCGCGAAGAGCAATTCTGGTCCATTGTTTCGAGGAACTACACCAATTCGGGGATCAAGTTTTCCTTTCCGCCGCCTTCAATGCCCGAGGAACTCAAGCTCAGGCAAAGACCCCCGTTCGTCTACCAGATATTACATTGAATGGATTATAATATTCCCTTTTATTATGCTATGTAGTCTTACGCTAGTTTCACAATAAATTACATTTACAAAGAAGCTGGTTGGTTGGCTTGGTTAAGCTAGCAGGCATCACAAGTTGGTGGATAAGAGTCAGACGTCCGACTTTTGATTGAGGGCCGCATATCCCACGGGGATCTCCTTCATCTCCGTCTGCAGGCAGAGGAACTCGCCGCCTATGCACATTATCGTGCCGGTGATGACGTTGAGCAGCCACCAGGATGCGTTGGCGGGAAATGAGCGGTTGTACCACCAGCAGATGAGCAAATGGAGGACGTGGAAGGTGCAGCTACGGCGAAAGAAAGTTCATTTTTAAATTTGCCAGATGCATTATTTATTGAGTTGGAATATCGAAAGTTAATGTTTAGAGTGTGTTTATGCAACAGAATCTATTCAAACTAGACTCTCAGTTAATACTCTTAATTACGGTACGGCCGGTATTTATTTATTTTAATTGTCAAAGCTTTGTAGACAAAAACAAAAAAATCCGTGCTCCCACTGTTTTATTTGATTTTTTGAGTGGAATAATGTATTCGTAAGCCAATGGTCCCAAAACATTCGTTAAAAATACTTATAGTATAACTACTTTTTTGATTAAAGGCAACAGTATGTATGAGTGATATATTTTGAACTCATTACCACTAAGTTTAAATGCAGCAAAGAGCATACTATAAGCGAAAAAAAAACTGTTTGATTTCATCCAAATAGGAATTACAAATGTTATAATTCTTTTTAAAAAAGTTCTGTTATTATCGTGAAAATCGCGAATTTCATTGACCTACTAAATATGCAATATGATTGTCTGGCCTTGGTTTGCTTATAATATTATTCGAAGGTCAAAATTGGCAGGAGCCTTTCTATTCCTTTTCATCCCTACAAGTTTTCTATTCTTTTCATCATGGAAATCGTGGTTATATTTGAGATGCCCACCTGAAGTCCAGACAGAGTTTGGCTCGTCTCACAATGCACCAGAGTGCCAGCGAGGCCAGGAAAGCGTTCAAGACGAAGGCGCAGATCACCAGTCTGCCGCCCAAATCGTAGATGTGAATCTCCTAGAAGGGCAAAAGTTAGTTACTTTAGAGTCTAACGGATCAGGACCGCGATTAGCATACATGATACTCGAACAAGTGATCCAGACTGTAGTTATCCCCGGACAACTTGTTGGCCACATAGACGAGCAGGCCGAGTGTGAAGTACACGCAGAACTGCATGGATACAATCTGTGAGGACAGTAGCGTGGGATCCCACTGGGTGTTGCGAAAGGTTCCGCCCTTCATAGTTGCCCCGGGTTTCCAAATCTGCAGTTCAAATGCGAAATTTCCAAGTTTCAGCTGGCCATAACAAACTGACTCAATCTTTAGAGATGACACTAGGGGTCAGTATCTGCTATCGATTATTGTGGTGGCAGGAGCGTCGTGGGGAAAAGGAGGAACTATCGCTACACACAAAGAATATTTGTTATGAACAAGAAAATATTTCACTTTTTTCTGTTTATTACATATTAAAAATGTTGCGGCAAGTATTGTATTTTTTTTTGTTAATGTTAAATTTGGCTTAATAAAAACTGTATAGAGATCGGCATGAATTAGCTCTCAAAATGAAAAGACTCACTCCCAAATTGAAATTATTTTAAAGGTCTCATCCAAGCCAAACATAGTTTTTTACTTTTTTTAACACTCGGCCAAACCAGTTAGTTTCCGCTCTATCGGCCATAATCGATAGTCAGCGATGGTCGCCATGGATCAGGATCACTTGAAGAATGCAAAGAACGCAACCCGCAGGATTGTGAGTAAAGTACGGTTTAAATGGAGGCGAGTATATAAGATTTTGCACCCACAGAGTCGCCTGCGATCGCTGGGAATCGTTACGGCCGGAGCGGCAGCTTTGCTGGCGGGCATTACGGCGTACAAGAAGCAGGACCAGCTGGTCCGCTCGTACGTGATGCCTGCGGTGCGGCTTCTTCCGGCGGAAACCAGTCACCAGCTGGCCGTCCTGGCCTGCAAGTACCGCGTGTGTCCGGTGTCCCAGTATCACGATGACCAGAATCTGCACACCCCCTTCTTTGGCCGCATCCTGAGCAATCCCATTGGCATTGCCGCCGGATTCGATAAGAACGCAGAGGCGGTGGGTGGCCTGCAGGATCTCGGATTCGGTTTCATAGAAGTGGGCACTGTCACCCCCGTCCCCCAAGAGGGCAATCCCAAGCCGAGGGTCTTCCGTCTGAACGACGAGCGGGCCATCATCAATCGGTACGGCTTTAACAGCGAGGGACACCAGGCGGTGCTTCAAAGACTCCGCTTGCTCCGCGACAAGGAGGACTTCAATGGCGTGGTGGGCGTCAATCTCGGCCGCAACAAGAGCACCATGAGCCCCATCGCAGATTATGTGCAGGGTGTGCGGGTTTTTGGTCCTGTGTCGGATTATTTGGTCATCAATGTGAGCAGTCCGAACACCCAAGGTCTGCGGGACATGCAGAGCAAGGATAAGCTAAGGGAGCTGCTGGAACAGGTGAACGACACGCGATCCTCACTGGACAAGAACAAGAATGTGCCCATCTTCCTGAAACTTTCGCCAGATCTGTCGCTGGACGACATGAAGGACATCGTTTGGGTGATCAAGCGCAAGAAGAGCAGTGTGGACGGTCTGATTGTGTCCAACACGACTGTGTCGCGAGATCAGATTGAAACCAGCAAGATGGCCGAGGAAGCAGGCGGATTGAGTGGACCGCCCCTCAAATCCCGCTCCACGGAGATGATTGCCCAGATGTATCAGCTCACCGATGGCAAGGTGCCCATCATCGGCGTAGGTGGCGTGGCCACCGGTCACGATGCCTTTGAGAAGATCGAGGCCGGGGCCTCGTACGTCCAGGTCTACACAGCGTTGGTGTACGAGGGACCCGCTCTCGTGGACGACATCAAGGCGGAACTGTCGGCACTGATCACCCAGCTGGGATACACCAATGTGGCGGATGTGGTGGGCACCAATTACAAGTTCTACCTGCCCAAGAAATGATACGACATCGCTATATTTGAACCATCTCTCATTGTCGCCTCTGTTCCATACAACTAGTAAATCAATCGAATTACAATCTATTATCCTCAAGGACTTTCATTGGCCCGCTGTACGGTGAGCACGCGTCCCTCCAGGAAGTGGGTGTTCTGGTTGCTGGCGCTGTTGAAGGCATCCCGCTGGCTGAACACCACGAATCCGTAGTGCTTGGAGAGGCCCAGTTGCCGGTCGAAGACCACCTCTGCGTTGGCCACGTACCCGTACTTCGAGAAGTATGTCCGCAACTCCTTGCTGCCAATCGTCCACGGCAGGTTGCCCACAAAAAGTTTGTAGCTACGCGCGAATCCGCTGGACATGATTATGGATATTTAGATCGGTGGGTTTCAAAGCGGGTTATAAAATAATGCACTAATACAGGGGTGGCGCAGTTCGATAGTTCGAAATGTTGTGACGTCACTTCTCAAATGCTTTTTTGATACTCTATCCTTACAAATATAAATTAGAATTCAAATTAAATAATATTAAATGTAGCAAATCCTCGCATTTGTTGTATAGGACTTGAACTCAGAGCACACAAATAAAATAGGAAAGTTCAAATGGTTCGTGGTACCTGTGTAAATAGACACCCCACAATTCTGCCACAGTGCAGGTGCAGGGCTGCCTATCGATGTATTTACCATCGACCGCTCTTTGGTGCCCTATCGATAGGCCGCAAATAATCAATGTTTCATCTCTAGCTCTTTTAAGTTTTGGTTGCGCTATTTATGTAAATGTTTAGCAAAACTGCGGAAAAAGTGCATATCAGTGCGCTCGATTGCTGAAAAAGAAGTTGCATTGCATCCGGCGAAGAGCCCATTAAAGGCGGCCCAGTAACCAGCGATTGGCGGGCCCAAGGAAGCCCAAGTCGACGTGTTTAATTCGGGGCGCGGCGCCTGCAAAAAAACGGACAAAACATCCTTAGGACAGCCACACACAAAGGGACATCGATACTTTCAGCCACACTGCACACACAATGGCCGAGCGACCGAAAAATTTGTTCGCAAGTGAGTACGAAAAGGTTTCGCACGCCCACGCATGTCACACATATGCAGTCGAACCAGGAGGTACACACACTCTGTGCGTTGATGGGTGACGCATAGCTGTGGATTCGGGTGCAGCGGTGATAAGCCATCCATAAATCCTACTGCATTATCCATTCCCCCCTCACTTTTTAGCCGGATCCAGCCGCGTCCGCAGTCCCCCGGATCAGCTTAGCCTGAACAACCTCAGCATTCGCCATCCGCCATCGTCCACGTCGTCCACCTCGTCGGGTTCCACCTCCTCGGGCTCAAGTTCCTCGTCGCAGCACAATCCTGTGACCCGCTGCTTTGGAGCCCAGCAACCGCAACAGGCTCCGCCGGTGGTCAGCAGCCATGTGCCCGCAGTTCCGGCCACTTCGACTTCGAGCAGCAGCGCCGCCGATCGCCACCGGGAGCGGATTCGTCAGCAGGCCTGCGGCAAGCTACAGTTTGGCGAGGGCGCCGCCAATACACACACATTCACTTCGGACGATCTCGAGGATGAGGGCGAAATCGGACGAGGAGCCTTCGGGGCGGTCAATAAGATGATCTTCAAGAAACTGGACAAAGTAATGGCCGTCAAGCGCATCCGCTCCACCGTCGATGAGAAGGAACAGAAGCAGCTGCTCATGGATCTCGAGGTGGTCATGAAGTCCAACGAGTGCATCTACATCGTTCAGTTTTATGGGGCCCTGTTTAAAGAAGGCGACTGCTGGATTTGCATGGAACTGATGGACACATCACTGGATAAGTTTTACAAGTACATCTACGAGAAGCAGCAACGCCACATTCCGGAGTCCATACTGGCCAAAATCACGGTGGCCACGGTGAATGCCCTTAACTATCTGAAGGAGGAGCTCAAAATCATCCATCGGGATGTCAAGCCGAGCAACATTCTGCTTCACCGTCGCGGAGACATAAAGCTGTGTGATTTTGGCATTTCGGGTCAGCTGGTTGACTCGATTGCCAAGACCAAGGATGCGGGCTGCAGGCCCTACATGGCGGTAATGAAAACCCATTCCTTCTCAGTCAGAGTACTATAATTTAACTACTATCCATTCTCTGCAGCCGGAACGAATTGATCCGGAGCGCGCCAAGGGGTACGATGTTCGAAGTGATGTCTGGTCATTGGGCATCACTTTGATGGAGGTGGCGACAGGCAATTTCCCCTATCGCAAATGGGACTCGGTATTCGAGCAGTTGTGCCAGGTAAGAACAATAACACATAACATTTAACGTTATCATAATTCGTTATAAACAAAGTTTGCCTGGTTAAAATGTATGAATAATTTTTGTTCTTATCTTGTTTTATAATGTTGTAAAAAGTTGTTACTTACATCTGATACGAGATTAACGCAAACACTAAACCATATCTTATATATATTTTGAAAGCAATTACATTTACATTTGATATTATTTGTAATATTATTCCTTACATTTTACTAGGTTGTGCAAGGTGAACCGCCGAGGCTATTAACCTCCTACAACGGCATGGAGTTTTCCAAAGAGTTTGTGGACTTTGTCAATACTTGGTAAGCTTCAATAAAAACTGAAGGACTAAAATTAAACATATATTAATGTTACAATTCCATCAGCCTGATTAAAAAGGAGAGCGATAGGCCCAAGTACAGCCGGTTGCTGGAGATGCCTTTCATCCGTCGCGGTGAGACGAGCCACACCGATGTAGCCGTGTACGTGGCCGATATACTGGAGTCCATGGAGAAGGACGGCATCACGCAGTTCACGGCCAACCAGCAAGCGGAGAGTTAATCACCCTATGCAAAGAAGCAAGTCATAATTTATCTAAGAATCAACAAGAACACAACAACAAACAAACTATGCAGAAAGGGAGCAGAGAAAATTTAAATTGTTGTCTACTTTGTAGCATTCGTAGAAAACGTAGCGCATATTTTGTTAAACAGAAAAACAAAACAAAGCAAAAAGTGTGTAAGCGATAGTAAGCAAAATGTGTGTATAGTTTAAAGTCCCTATAAAGCCTATTGTAATTCAATAATTTTTGTACTCGCAATTTTGTGCGTTTCATTTTGTGTTACAAATAAATTTCTGTTGAAAACAGGCGAGTAGCGGGGTACCTTCGAGTATTTCGGCCAAAAAATTGACCAGTTTTGGACTCCCAGCTCAGTGCCTATTTACTTTTAATCAAGCGAGCATTTTATAATCCGGTTGATTTTTTTTATCATTATTGATAATACAAGACCAATTGGTAATGCATTTTGCGTTATGCAGCAGCCAGGCGAAACATAAGCAATATTTGTACAAAAAACTTTGTGAAGGAAAATAGAAAGATTAACTACCTATACAAAACTAATAGAAACACCAATACGCGTTAAAGGAGCGTACCAAATAGTTGAACAAAAACTATTGAATTATAAATTATTTATTGAAAAGATTTTTTAATCCTATTATATTTTTTAATTTGCATATATGAAAATGATTGTGAAAAGCTTTAAATAATTGCCAAGCGGCTGAGATGTTTAAATTGTAGTAGAAATTATTGCAAAAAAATGCTAAATTAATCCCATAATTAGCCACAACACCGACACATTCACACACTACACACATATACACACGTTTTTATGCGTAGTAATTAGTTTTAAGCGAAGCAAGAATATTTAGCAAAAAGTTACAGCTACAAAAACATAAGTCGTGTGAAAACTGAAAATAAACAAAATAAATGTATTGTGCCTAAGTATAAACCGAAATGATAAAAACTCCACAAGACAATTACAATTTAAATTTAATCAAAACTCATAAGCCATTTATAATCCTTAGCCTAGCTTTTAAACCCACGCTTATATAGCCGAACATGCCATCCCTGCCCCAAAAAAGATACACAACCAAACAATTGCACCGTCTATGTCCCCGTCTCAAAACAATAACAACCAAACAAACAAAAAAAGGAAAAACCAATGTTTTTGGATTAACATTTTTATGCAAGCGTCAATGTGAAAGCAAAGTTTATTTTGTATACATATATACATGCATAATATATTTGCACGGGTTGCATATAGAGTAAGCAAAGCAACATCAGTTTTCATTTGTTTTTTCTAAGTTTGTTTGCCAAATGAAATCCAACAGCATGCAGCATTTAGAGCGGAAATATATACATATATGAAATATATTTTTATTAAGCCCACAAACATCCTAGAATTCGCAAATAGACTTGTCAAGCAATGTTCGGTCAGCCGAGCCTTGTTCGCCCTTGGGATAATATTTACATTAAACAAACATTAATTAATAAAAGGGAGCACATGCATTGCAATAATCTAAGATGCAAGTTAATTAACATTCCATTCAAAAACCACATTACCGAAGGGCCTACATCTCTGAGGAAATAGTTTCTATGGTTGCAGACAAAATACGACAATGGTGGCGTACTAATTGACCACGATGTTGAATTTAATACCCTAATCAGAAGGCGGTATAGTTGAAAACAATTACCTAAGTACTTGGGCAGATAACTTTTGATAAAACTAGCGGTAGACATAATAACCATATTATACATCTCATGTGTAATGCCAGGAATAATGCAATCGCGAGTCGTCAATATTTTTGACAATAAATGGAGTATAATTTATTTGTAAAGTAAGAAAAAACTAAGGTCCCTTGAAAAGATTACGGCAAGGGCATATGGATTATGTATATATGGTAGATATACTAAGGACATATGACTGGCAAATATTGATATACTAATCTATGAACTAGCTGCAAGTCAAGTACGATGGCTATGTCCATCAGTCCCGAACCCAAGTCCCCAAGTGAAATTTAACACCAAAACCCCCATGATTGGCTTCCATTGATCCAAGGCCTTTGATTATAATTAAATCGCAAGTGTATGCCACAACATAAAGCTCTTAACTAAATCTAACCAATGACAAAACTGGAAACGCAACGTCCACAACAATATTAATATTTGCAAACTTTTAAACCTAGCTTACTACAAATAAGAAAAGAGTGCTAGATTTCTGAATATTTGTGGGAGCCCAATATTCGGGTCCAGATCCTAAGCAAAAACCCATTGCAAAATCCGAAGAAGCTCACTCTACACTTAGCGCACTAAGTTTTACTAACTAACAGCCTATACAAATAACCCCGGCTTGTGTGTACCACTCGGCGTAAAATAAAACTACACAAGGATAACCAAAATACCGAAAGGGAAACGATTCAGTGTCATGGCAAATAAACACAGATAAATAACACATACTGTACTGTTGAACAAAATTGAAAAAGCAAAACACCACAAATAAAACAATTTGTATAAATATTAATAGCAAATAAAAATTATAATTCAAAAACTCAATTAATGCCTAATAGCTGTGTTAATGGGGATGTGATGGGGCATTGGGACTCATGGCCGGACACGCCCACTCAACTGATGTATTTGTAGGCGGAAATCGCAACCAATTACTAAATCGAAGTATGAGTATAATCAAAGAACATTCAAATTGTGAAAGCGATGTGGCTGTCTTACTAATACGAGTCCTTTGAGACTTACTTCCTTATTTAAAAAAAAAGTTAAGCAAAATAAAAGGTTGCTATTATTATAATTTCTTTTTTTTTTTGTAATATTAAAAAGTGAAAGCAATAATTTTAAATTAATTAAACTAATAGACATCACATTTTTTAAGACAAAAAGGAGTTAGCTTAAAATGTTTCAACTATATTTTAATATTTTTTTAGAGCATATTTCGTTCAGGGTACTAAAAATCACTTCTAAGTCTACTGTTTTCTATCATGTCTTTGGCCTGCTGCATATTATTATTGACTGGCATAATTTTGAGGGGCACGCGACGCGACTCGAATGAAAATCGCCGCCCAAACGAGAATCGTGGTGGGCATGGAAAGCGTCGCATTAAAGCCGCAAATGCGTAATCCTCAGCTAGAAAATACGTAAATTTAAATACATACATAGATACAAACCCCTTTTTTCGACCGACTTATAGCCGAATATCGGGTGAAAAGCAGGAAACCCCGATGAGTTGCGGACGCGCAGCCAAGCGAAAAGGTTGTTTTCAAGAGCTTAATCCAGCAAAAATTCCAAAAAATCGGTCAATTAGTCTGGCTAATATTTTGTTCGATTTTTTGGGCATCCATTGATGACTGGTGCCCGTCCGTTTATATAGAAAGCTGAATGGATGCTTTAAGCTGGGAATAGCTAGCTGCTTCAGTCTGCCGTCGAACGTTGCGCGTGGAGCAATTAAATTTTGAAATACGAGTCCAAGTTGACAGGTTCAACGACATGCTGGTCTGCATCATTTTAGCCGGCTGGCTGCTGCTGGTTTGGATATACTTCCTATGGAGCCGGCGAAGGTATTATAGAGCAGCCTGGCAGCTAAGAGGCCCCATTGGCTGGCCCCTTATTGGCATGGGTTTGCAAATGATGAACCCGGAGAGTAAGAGTAGAGAGGATTTCGGCGCAAAGGCAGATGATAGCTCCAGTTTTTCACAGCCTTTTTGCAGTACATGGATGGTCTGTCGCGACAGTTCAAGGCCCCCTTCATTTCCTGGATGGGCACCAATTGTTTCCTCTACATCAACGATCCACACAGCGTGGAGCAGATATTTAACTCGACGCACTGCACCAATAAGGGCGATTTCTACCGCTTCATGAGCTCGGCCATAGGTGATGGACTATTCACATCCAGTTCTCCGCGCTGGCACAAACATCGTCGACTCATAAATCCCGCCTTTGGTCGCCAGATTCTCAGTAACTTCCTGCCCATCTTCAATGCCGAGGCTCAGGTCCTGCTGCAAAAGCTGGAGCTGGAGGGTGTGCAGCATGGCAAGCGGCTGGAGATCTATCAAATCCTCAAGAAAATCATCCTGGAAGCAGCTTGCCGTGAGTAGGTACTCTTCTCTTAGATCCTTATTTATTAAACTTTATTTTTTGCAGAAACAACGATGGGCAAGAAAATGAATTTCCAGCATGACGGTTCTATTGCCATTTTTGAGGCTTATAATGGGTGAGTAAAAATTCTTGAGATTCTACAGTATATAGAATGTATGTAAAGTAGGTATAAGTATTAATTCAATACAAAATAATTAAATTCCTATACTTTCTTAAACTGTAGTCTAATGCCTTTTTTTAAACCAGCTATGTTTTTTTGGTATTTAATACCAATCTTCTTAAGAAATTGTTTATAGTCAATAGTTTGATGTAACAATAATTTACTTCTTGTTTGGGTGTTTTTAAATGTTCAATGAAAACATAAGCTTTATTTTAAAACATTCAGGAATTTTAATATGGTTGCTGTATATACCTTACATAAGCAATAATAATATTTAAATCCTTACAGCTTAACCGAAGTCTGTGTGAAACGAATGCTATCGCCGTGGCTTTATCCTGAGCTTATTTACCGGGGCTCGCGACTTTTTGGCCTGCAGCAAAAGGTTGTCGGCATACTCTTTGGGTTTATAGAGCAGGTAAGCTGTTCATCCGATAAGTGTTGGTTAACCCGTGACCCAAACGTAACCTTTTCCGGCAGCTACTCGAACCAATTGTCTCGGTGGTGGCTGCCAATGCCAATCCGGAGCAGCAGCCACCGGAGCTAGAGAGGAGGGGCAAGTCCAAGGCCATTTTTATCGAGCAGATGCGGGAACATGTGGAGCGTGGCCAGCTGAGTTGGCAGGATGTGAGGGATGAGGCCAATGTGACCATTGCAGCCGTAAGTTAAAAGAAGTTTGATCTTTTAGTCAGAAAAACTCTCATAATTGGCATTCCCTATTTAAGACTTTTGAGACCACATCGACTGCGCTGTACTTCACCATTCTCTGCCTGGCCATGCATCCTGGCTACCAGGAGAAGCTCTATGAGGAGCTGGCCAGAGAGCTGCCGCGCTCTGGCGATATAGCCTTGGAGCACCTTCAACGACTGGAGTACACGGAAATGGTAATCAATGAGGCCATGCGACTGTTTGCTCCTGTGCCCATGGTCCTGCGAGCGGCGGAACAGGATGTCCAATTGCGGCGGGATGACGGGGAGTTTCTTATTCCCCGAGGCACCCAGATCGGCATTGACATATACAATATGCAGCGAGATGAACGGGTTTGGGGACCACTTTCGCGTACCTTCAATCCGGAGGCGCATTTCGGTCTGGATTCGCCGCAAAGACACGCCTTCGCCTTTGTGCCATTCACCAAGGGATTGCGTATGTGCATCGGCTACCGATATGCCCAGATGCTGATGAAACTGCTGCTGGCCAGGATCTTTCGCAGCTATCAAATCAGCACTGAGGCACGGCTGGAGGAGCTCCGGGTCAAGGGCAATATCTCCCTGAAGCTACGGGACTATCCGCTGTGTCAAGTGGAGCGAAGATAACAGGAAATGTTTTGCCCCCAATTTGTTGCTGTAATTTTTTAATTAAAAATGTAATTTTTGTTGCATTTTCTCTGCGTAGAAAATTGAGTTTGTTACACTTTCCTGTTGGGCTCGTTAACGAGGACCTCTCCTTCTCTGGCAAAAATTGCCAGCTTGCTAATAGCTATAATGGATTTCAGTTTGCACTTGTTCGTGCTCTCCCACAACTTTACAGCATACGTTGCGTATACGTGTTACGTTACCTAATTGATTGAATTCCTCGGAAGGCTAGCCGGTTGGAAATGAGGCTATCTGTTGCAACTAATGGCTGGTCAAAGTTCCTGCCCTTAGAGGATCTGCGTAGGTGATTCTGAATTTTAATAACATTGGAAAGCTATTTACGGTTTTCACAGCTCTAGCTAAATACAAAATTCCTGTGTTCTTATAAAAATTAAATTGGATCTTATTTATTTATAAATTTAAGACTTTAGTCAATTTAAATTATTTGTTATACAAAAATTTCAAATATCTTTAATATGCAATTAAAAAGCAAACTTATATTTATAAATGTATATATCTAAAATCTTTCAAAATGAATATAAATGTAGTACACACTTTGTATCTAAAAATAAGTCCCATATAAGCATACCTGCCATACTCTGAAAGCTTTATTTATAAATTGTTGCTTATCAACAACGTGACGTCATTAGTTGCGATCAAAGTGGTTTCTTCAGTCAGCAGTTGTCTCGCTTGCGCATATACACAAAACTCACATTGGTCGCACGTGATTTCAACCTTCGATAGCTCAGTTGGTAGAGCGGTGGACTGTAGTTGGAAAACATGCGATAGAAATCCATAGGTCGCTGGTTCAAATCCGGCTCGAAGGATTTTATGTTTCCTTTTTTTTAATATTGTAATTAAGACATGACTTTTTTTTATTTTTTTAGTCAACAAATTTTAAATTTTTAAAACGATTTGAACTGATAACTCTATTAATATGTTCTCAAATTTACTTAATAAAGTGTTGATGTTTTCTTCAAACCCATTTTTGAGAAAATAGATTTGATTGTAACTGTACAAAAACAAGTCACAAACAGAGCTAGTAAAAACGAAGTTAAAATAAATTTAAAAGAATTGAAAGTAAATATTTTTTAAAAAATATTTGGGAAAGATGATATTTAAACTGCTAAACCATTCGAACCAGCAGCTATAAATGATTTGCGTCCAAAAGATGCAATCAAACAAAGTTGTACTTTAACAAATAAATAAGTATGTTTGCTGATCAGTAAAAAAAATCCGTGTACAGGTTCCGGCTGCAAAGATCCGGATACCCAATTCCAAAACAACGTCCCCAGATGAGAGCCCCTCACCGACCTTCGATAGCTCAGTTGGTAGAGCGGTGGACTGTAGTTGGGAAAACAAGCAATAGAAATCCATAGGTCGCTGGTTCAAATCCGGCTCGAAGGATTTTTTGTAATTTTAATGTTTTTCTTTTACAGTTTTTTTTATTATACAATTCCCACTTTAATTCAAATTGCTGTAAAACTTTATGAATAAAATGTTTTCAATTAATCATTTTGTATTATCTTTGTTTTAATATTAAATATTTCACTTTTATTTAAATTCAATATTCAATATTCAGAAAAACCAAAAAAGAAGAGTACTTCACATACCTAAATGAAAACATTGACTGCTGGTCACCTGGCCATGCAGTTGTTGTCGTTTTAAATTACTTAATCATTGACTTGTTGCAAATACAATTTATCAGCACTTTGCCAAGGTAATAATTCTATTTGCCACTCCTCCGTCCTATAACATTTCCCCCGTCGTCGACGACTGACAAACGAATAGATTGCTGTCTGGGCAGCCGGCCTCCAGCCTCCAGCCACCATTTCACTTTAAGCTCCGCTGCCTGCAACAAAATATGCATAATTCAAAAGCAGGAGCTGCGTCCTTGCCAACGCGAATCCTGCGGAATAAGGGAAAGCCCCTTGACGGGAGCTAAAAATGTGCAATAAGCGATTGCGACTCGTTAACACTTCGAAATATGGGGAGGAATGAAGTGCGGGGTAAGAACAGCTGTGCGAAAAATATTAGTATCAAGTTCAGCATTCGAAAATTGTTTCCTAAGGCTCTTGGCTTTTTTTTAAGAAGATTAATATTTATATTTTATAAATGAACAAAAAAGGTCTCAAATGGTTCGTCTGGGTATCAACGGTCTCTTTCTGAAGTTTGTGTATGTATCTATTTAATTTATTTTTAATCGGTTCCAAACTATGTGTTACTTATTTCAAACCCAAAATAAGTGTGAATGTTTTCAAACTTGTCCTTATAATATGTTTTATGAAAAAGGTTATAGATTCATTTTCCGAAGAGCATCTTCAGATTGGGATGCCTGTGTAATTCCAACATTAATCTAATACGCGTGTTTAGTGCGGCCTGGCGGGCATCCAACTTTTTAATAGTCTTGCTAGCGCTTTACAATAAGTAATTCAATCATTTACAACAAATCAAACTGTCTGGAGAGCAGGACTTGCGACGAAGGACTAAGGACGAGGAGCTGGTGTCCGCCTCGTAAGCAAATAGTCGCGAGGGCTCTTGGCCTGGCTTATTATTAATGTGAAAAACTTTTGCAAGTTTTCAATTAGTTACGCTCCCCTCCAGCGAGTTGGCGCATTTACAAGACAAACGCTGGCTCATAATAAAATATTTAGTTGGATTTCCTTGGCCATTCGCCGTAATTGACTTGCCACCAGTTATTTGTATAACAAGCCAGAACGTTGCTCGGTTTTTGATTCGGATTTGGATTCGGCATCAGATTCGGATTCGCACTGCGACTCGGTTGATTACTGTGTTACTTGGGACCCGGGCAAGGTCTGCTAATCCAAGTCGACAGCCTGCATAATGTGATTAATTGAATATTAGGGCAGGCAGGTGCTCGAATGCCGGGACTACTGGCCACAGCTTGTGCTGTCTGGTGTTCCATTTACGTATTTTCCTGTTCACCTGTTGGCCTTCTTCTTGAGGTGAAGGTTTCTGCTTTCCACGTCAACTAATTCTTTCAATTGCAGACCAAAGCCTTTGTTCGCCTGCATACGAAATCAGATTTTAATGAGCACATATTCTGTAGTCCAATTGGAAGGCGGTTTGTCTAGAAATACGAATTTCCATTTGCCTAGTGAGATTGCCAAAATAAGCTTTAATTCGTTGTTTTTCCTTCTTTGATTTTCATTCCTTTATCCAATTCATTTGATTTCTCTAAAGTATTGTTCAAGTTTAAGTTTTTTGTGCATTTGTTTACTATTTGGTATATGGGTTTTCATAGCAAATTGATAAGTTAAAATTTGATACATTTTTAAGTTAGTAGTTATTCATTACCTAAAAATAGGAAATAGTAACTTTATTTTAGAGCTAAAATTATATCTGTGAACTATGTGTATAAATGAAAATATGACTGCTTTGTTTTTTAAAAAGGCCTTAGTGTTTGTTCTTTTTTCCCTTTAAGGTGAAGCTGTTTCGTTTCAGTCACAATAAATGTTATTTCTCTTCGTACACCTCCAAGCAATTTTGCTCGATTTCCGCTGAACCGCAAAGCAGGTAACACTTGGCTGAGTTTTGCCAATCCACCAATGCAGTGCCTCCTAGTCGTGTGTGTTTAGACTTAGGTTTTTGTTTGCCCAACCGTGGACGTTAATTACAGGGAAACATTTGTGAAGGCTGTCGGAGGAGTGGGCGGTGGCCGACCCACAACCCACAACTAATAAACCAATGTTGAACCTGGGGATTCCCCGAAACCGCATTAACAAGAAGCTCCAGCTGCTGCTGCAGATCCTGGCTGTAATTAAGTTTACGCCCGTTTTACGAGACACGCGCCAAAGTAAATCCCGACCACATTTACTAGGACAACAAACCGCAGCGGCGGGCAAAAGTGGTGGCGTCTCATCAATGTGTTAATGCTAATTGTCATTGTACTATGGCATGGCCTTGGGTGGGCGTGGCGAAAGGGGGGCGGTAAGTGCCACCACTTACTTCAAATTGAATTAGCCTCATACAAGTATGTGTGGTCTGTCAGTTGAGACAGTTTGCAACTTCCAAACTCAATTTGGCAGGTCGAAAAGTTTAGTTTTCACTTGCCAAAATAAAAAGTGCCGGCCCCGCTCGCAGAGCTTACTATAGTTGGAACATTTTGATCGTGGTGGATGCCTAACTATTTGGTAAGGGTGGAAAAAGGGCGGCAAACGTAATCACAGCAAAAATATTTAACAAAATTGCATTAGAAACTTTTTTGCCAGGCGACACAAAATTGCCGAACAAAACGACCTAACAAACTGTGCAAATTCAAGTCAAGCCTTCGAGGGATGTCAGCTATGAGGAGTAGAGCATTTGTACTCTGGCAAAATTGTGTTCATCGTATCGGTTGCCAACTTAACTTAAAGTTTTAAGAATCTGGTGTACTCCCAGCGACCTCAGGGGACATACTTATTGGAGCTTAACACTTTGACATTCAGACGTTTTGTTCGTCCTGAGGGGATTGGAACATACTTTTTAAGAAATTTATTCAAGGCTTTGTTGCTCCGAAATATATTTATTAATAACTCCTAAAAAAATTTAGTTTGATAATTATTAGTTAAAATGTATAATATTATTGTAAAAAATATTGAAATCTCTAAAAAACTTTCAAACTAACTGCAAATGAAATAATTTATGGAATCAAATCAAATTTAACTTTGTGAAGAGCAACTAAAAGTTTTTCTATCAATTCAAAATGATTTTTATGGGGTTAACTGGCCCTCACAAAAGTGGAAATGTGTTGAGCCTGCACCTCCCCCGAGAGAAGAAAGTTTTTCGCTTGTTGTGTGACAAATTGTTTTGTGCAGCGGCCGAAGGAAATAAAAGGCAACATTCGACTGTAAAGCGGATAAGAACTGGGTGGTGCGGGTGGAGTGGGAGGTGGGTTATGGGTGGTTTGGAAGGACAACAAGCGAAAGACTTCGCCATCAATGTGTAATGAATGTGGGCGGAGAATCGAAGCGAGAGCAAAGTTTAAAGCGCGAACAAGAGCGGAAAAAACAATGACAGGCACAGGCGTTGCCAGGGGCCAGACCTCTTCCGATCCTGTTCCTGTTTCCCTGTTTCCCTGTTTCCATTTTCCACTACTCATTTGCATTACATTTTCCGCTTTCCCATCAGTGTCTTTTTTATACCCTTGCTTAGGGTGAAATCAAAAGACTACCTTTTGAGTATTTTACTGTTTTGTTTGCCTAATCAAAAACATTTCACAGTCGTTAAGCTTGCACTCCTTCACTAAATTACAAGAAATGTTAAATGTTTAAATACAAATTATTTAATTATAGAATGAGAAAATTATCATATATATTTATGATTTAAATATGGCACTGGTGAACCATAATTTATTGTAATTTTCTTATTTGCTTGTTAATTACAAATGTTTATTGAAATAATAAATAAATTTAATCGAAAGTGTTCGTTTTTTTCTGTTCCTTGTAAATAAGCTTATAAATAAAGTGAGAAAATAAGATCCCCTCATATTTAATTGGGCATTTTAAATTAATTTATTGCAGGACTAGAGTGGTGTATACTACCTTTTTTTAAGTGTTTTAAAAAAAGTCCTTAAACTACAGTTTTAGGATTATCGGAATAGAAATGAAACTAAAAGTATAGAGATTATATTAGTTATTATTGAACTAATTTTTATACTCAACACTGTTTGTAGTTTATTTTCAAGTCAGACTTATTAAATTTTTAGTTTTTTCTTTGGGTGTGGGGCTATTTTCGAAGGAGTATATTCTAGCCTCCGCTTGCAGTGTTGGCTTCACCTTTTTCTTGGGTGCCAGCTGGTAAACTTTTGCCGCTCGCTGTTTGCCGTCGCCCTGCGGCTGCAGTGGCGCATAAATTAACAAACATGAGGCGAGCGGAGCGCGTGACTGGAGGACCTTTGGCAGAAGTGGGCCTAGACCCAGGCCATGACCCACTTGGGAAACTGGCCACCCAAATGGTCAACTGATTGACTCGTCGCCTCACCCGCTTTTCCGCATTTCCCGCTTTTCTGGGGCATGTTCGTGTGGTCCACTCTCGCTGGCCATTCGCCCCCTGAAACGCTCAATTGCAATTACAGCATTTGGCCCCGCCGAAAAATTGGCCAGCGCAATTAATTAAAAAGTTTGCTGCCCACAATGCAATCGCACCAAGTGCCGGTGTGGCTTCTGGTCCTCGCAAAAGCTCTAAAAATATTTGGCCAGGTGGCGAGGTATTTATTTTATTTTCATACGTTGCGACATTTAATTAAAAACTTTGCATACGGACGGCAGGTACAACCAAAGCAAAATGAATGAACTCTGTTTTTTTGTTAATTTTATTTTATCACAGGATTATACGAATATAAAATAAATGCGAATAAAATTGTGTGTGTGTGTGTGGAAAAAGAGCGAGCAGATTAAAAAGTAGAGATTTGCAGCAAAACTATTTCAATCAATTTTTGACATTCATGCATAAAAATAACTGATATGAATATTTCATATCGAAAAGTTTATTTATTTCCTTACAAGTGGTTTTTTTTACGACAGAGCGTAAGTATTTATTATAAAAATAAATATTTATGAAGTATATGTCCGTTTATTCAGTACAGTGAGTAAAAAATTAAATGAGGAAAATATGAAATGTTTTTTTTCAATTTTCAGTAGAGTTAAATTTAATTTAAACTGAAAATATATTAAAATCCCTTTTTTGCATTTTGACAAAAACTTTAAGTTGAACGTTTAATTTTCTTAAACATTATTTACTTGCTTAAACAAATTACTCTAGATAAATATTAAATTATTATTATTATTAAAATATTCATGAAATTATATAGCATTTTCACATTTACAATAATAATTTTAAAAGAAGGCACAAAAATAAAAATTTTCATTAAACATACGCCGCGTGTGACGGCAATTAAAGTAGCTGAAACATCTTGAAAGTAATTTGATTCGCTATGAGTAAAATTCTGCCCTTCTCGCTGTTGTCTGGTCTGTTCTTTGTTGTAATTTTCATAAAAATTATGCAGATTAAATGTGGCAGTCAAGTTTGTTTAGCCCGGCGAGTGACATTAAACTCGCATAAGGCGCATCGCATCGCATCGCTTCGCATGGGCGCAGACAAGAGAGATGTCTAAATAATAAAGGCAACCTGAGCTGTTGTGGGACGTCGCACAAGTTGATTGAATAAATCACAGCAGGTGAAATTCACTCCGAAGAACTCTTGACATGCGTGGAACAGGCTGACAGACTGAAAAATAAGCGTTGCCTGCATACATATACAATGAAACAGACTGACACGTGAAACGTATTGCCCAGAAGCCGCAGGATTGCGCAGAATTCTAATGGACGAAGTACGAAGGACGAGGGCGCTGTAAAGTTTCGCCATTTACAGCGCGGCAACAATTCGGCCAAGTAGCTGCCAAGCAGCAGAGATAACTCAGACATAAATCCGGCCATTTTGAGGACCTCCATTACGCCAACAGTGTGTAACAATTTTAGGAAATAAAAAGCTGCCCGCCGCCAGGGGAATTAAATTAGTTCGCATTTGATGGTCGGCCAAAAATTGGCAACCAAACACTTGTCAACCTCACAACCGCTCGCTAAATATTTTGTGAAATTAATTGCATGTCGCTGGGGGCTAATTAAATGCCTCGGCGGCAGAACCAATTTACATGATCACGACACGCCAACATATGGCTCGGATTTTGCCACCTGCAAGGTGTGCGAAGTTCACTCGGCAATTAGCATTTTCTATGAGCCATTTCAACCGATTCCTTTCATTGAATTCTGAATGCCACGACGTGTCACGGCTCTGGGGCAATTAACCATGGGAAATAAGCTCTATGAAATTCCACATATACATTCACATTCACATTCAATAAATGCAAATTGCACGGCTATTATTTTTAGGGATATTTCTGTCTTTCAAAGGTCAAGTTTTACGTTTGGCGCAAGCCGCTTGTTTGACATGGAAAACCACGCAATGACAATTAAAGGAAAAAGTGTATGGAAAGAAAAACATATGTATGGCAATGTGTCTGGAATTTACGCTGTGCAAATAAATTTAATCGATGGATAAACATTTCTCAAAATGCATTCGATAAGCGTTATTGGCTGTCAGCAAATGTTAGACAGTTAGAGTTAAACTTGTATAATTGCTTAATTAATAAAAGTTTACAAATCAAGTATTCCTCTAACAAGTTTTTAATTGTTGTAAAACTTCAGATTGATATTATTACATATTTAGGAAACTTATCTGGACTTTCTTTTAAAAACCAATTAGTCATTCTCATGGTTAATTATGAGCCACGCCTACCCAGACAACCTTCAATATAAAACACCCAAGCACACACAAAGTCCGCACTAACTATTTTTTCGATTTTTAATACAGCCTTGAACCCATTGTAAATTATAATTTATGAGTACCTACACTTCGTGTTGAAACTAAGCTTTAAGTTTGAATATTTGCCAACTTTCTGGGGCAATTAGGCATTAAGGCGGTTAATTATGAGCCACGCCTCACCAGACACCTTTACCATAAAAGGGGGCGACCCCTTGGCGGGGTGAAAACTTTTAAAAACTCATTAATGCATAAATTTAGGGTCCCTTAAATAGCTGCTGCGAGGGAGCCAATAAGTCCATAAGCAGTTCGATTTTGGCTCCAATTCCACAGAACTCAGCAGTCGATGGCCAGTCTTCAGTTCCACGGCAACGTTGATGCGGACATCAGGTATGAGATTGGTCTGGATCCGGCCAGGGAATCGAACTTGTTCCGCCTGCTGATGGGCCTGCAGTTGGCGATGGGCATGAAGCCATCTCCGCGGTTACCAAAATGGTGGCCCAAATGGCTGAAACTGGTCGGCAATGTCTTGGCCAAAGCCTATTGTGCCATTGTGATTTTCACCTCGCTGCATTTGGGAGTGCTGTTCACGAAAACCACACTGGATGTGCTGCCGACGGGCGAGCTGCAGGCCATTACCGATGCCCTCACCATGACAATAATATATTTTTTCACGGGCTACGGGACAATCTACTGGTGTGTGCGCTCCCGAAGACTTTTGGCCTACATGGAGCACATCAGCCGTGACTATCGCCACCATTCGCTGGCCGGGGTGACCTTTGTCAGCAGCCATGCGTCCTTTACGAAGTCCCGGAACTTCACGACCGTGTGGATAATGGCCTGCCTGCTGGGCGTGATCTCCTGGGGCGTTTCGCCCCTCATACTGGGCATTCGGATGCTGCCGCTCCAGTGTTGGTATCCCTTCGACGCCCTGGCCCCCGTCACATATTCGGCGGTGTATGCCACTCAGCTTTTTGGACAGATTCTTGTGGGCGTGACCTATGGCTTTGGGGGATCGCTGTTCGTCACCCTCAGCCTGCTGCTGCTCGGCCAATTCGATGTGCTCTACTGCAGCCTGAAGAACCTGGATGCCCACGCCAAGTTGCTGGCCGGGGAGTCTGTAAATAGCCTCAGGTTGGTATTCCTACACAAACATGTAACTGGCTAGTAAAGCCCTAATAAGTGAAACTTAAAATTTCCTTAAGGTAAAACCAGAAATTGTAAATGCGTCATCAAATTTTTTTATGATATCGAAATATAAAAATGAAAAAATATATCTGTACTTTTTAAATAAGTAATTTTAAAGCAGTAATTGTAAAGTCGTGATCAAATCAAAACCATTTAAAATCTTACTTGTGTAAAAAACTTGTTTAAAACCAGTAATAGTACAAAAGTACTATTAATTTAAAATCTTTACTTGTTGAATAGCTAAATTATTGGTTATTTTATGCAAATTTATTTGAAACAATAATAAATATATTATGACTTTTTCCGAATTTTTTATTTATTTAACAAAATATATTCAAATAAATTGAAAACATGTTTCCTTATAAAAGTCTAAGCCAACTTAAAATCTCCTTAAAAAGTTGCTCCAGCCAAGCTTATCTTTATTTGAAATCGTTCTTTAATACAAAATCAGAAAAATTCAAGCACATAAGTGTTCTAAGTGTGAGCTACATGTTCCTAAGCCTGAATAATTTTATGAACGCTGTTCTTGGCTATTCTATCAATGTGACTAGATTTAACTTAAGCATTTAAATAAACTAAACCCATTAATTTATTACAGTATGCTTCAAAATGAGCTGCTGCTGGAGGACTCGAGCAGGGAACTAAATCAGTATGCCGTGCTCCAGGAACACCCCACCGACTTGCTGCTGATGTGTTCGAGACGTAAATGTCCTGAGCGGGGGAATGTGTTCCACAGTGCCCTGGTGGAGTGCGTCCGCCTGCACCGCTTCATACTGCACTGTGCCGTGGAGCTGGAGAACCTGTTTAGCCCGTATTGCTTGGTGAAATCCCTGCAGATCACCTTCCAGCTCTGCCTGCTGGTCTTTGTGGGCGTGTCGGGGACCCGAGAGGTCCTGCGAATAGTCAACCAGCTGCAGTACCTGGGACTGACCCTTTTCGAGCTGCTGATGTTCACTTATTGCGGCGAATTGCTGAGTCGACATAGCGTTCGATCTGGGGACGCCTTCTGGCGGGGATCGTGGTGGAAGCACGCCCATTTAATCCGCCAGGACATCCTCATCTTCCTGGTCAACAGTCGACGGGCCGTACACGTGTCCGCTGGAAAATTTTATGTGATGGATGTGAACCGTCTGCGATCGGTAGGGAATTAATTATAGAAATTTAGTAAAATTATTAAACATAATTATTTAACAGGTTATAACGCAGGCCTTCAGCTTCTTGACTTTGCTGCAAAAGCTGGCTGCCAAGAAGGCAGATCCGAATCTCTAAACTGGAACCACATTCGTTCACTGTGTTTGTACACGTTGATATTTATTTTGCACATTAAAAACGAAGTCGAGTAAAATGCAAAACAATATTTGCGTTTCCGCCTCTAAATGTTTACTTAACATTTTGCAGCACGAGCAGATGTGGATCTCACCCACTTTAACTCCTAACGAACCTCCGCGAAAAGCGGCTCTAAGTCCCATGTCTCTTTTGCCTTTGGCTTGTCACTGATAAACAGCCCTTTTCCCAACAATTTTGAGGTGGAGTTTCCGTTTCAAGTGTAAACATTTTGCAAGATGATAATTAGATGCTCTTTATGTGAGAGAAATGTCTTTGATTACCCAAGCTAGAGAGCCCTATAACATAAATTTAATAGAATATTTTAGCACATTTTTAGTATATTACTATTACATATTAACTTTCCATTATCTTAACATTTGCTACTATTTAAAATTGTATAATGACTTTACAAGAAGTACTAGCTTTTCAATAAGTTTTTGGCTTTATATTATTTTTGTTTATTAAAGGTCATACAAATAGCATGTTTTGGCAATATATAATACTTGCCAATCCTAAGTCAGAATTTAAAAGACAACTAATGTACCCACTTAAAATTTGTTTTCGCCTTGATGTCTACGCGTATCTGTTGAACAAAGTTCACAGATTTTGTAAGAATTCTAAAAGTCGCCTTTAATTTGGCGATTGCACGCCGTAGGCACAAAACTTATGGCAAAGTTTTCAACTCATTTGCGCTTTGCATTTTTCATTGTGTCACAGACACACAAAAATACCCAGACACCCATACAAAGCGAAAAGTTTTTCTTTCTTCGCTCGGTGACTTGCTGTAACTTTGAATCCGATGGGATGTGGATGTGAATGTGGATTGGATGGAAATGGAAATGGGGGCTGAGAAATGTGAATGGGGGGAGGACATTGCTACGTGTGTATTTATAGGGACTCATTTGTTTCAGTTTTTGCCACCATCGAGCTTAGATGATTACCTTTTTGTATTGTGCTTTTTGTACCCGCTCGCCCGGTTCGGTTACGTCTGCGGAAATGCCTTTCACTTTCTCCACTTCCGCTTCCTCTCCACGCTAACTACCTTTATGCGTGTCTGCCGGAGCCGGAGCCAGCAGGACATTTATATTACACGATATTTGATAAGCGCACTGCACAGTTGAGCTGTGAGCTGCCCGGTCCCGCAGACAAATGTGCTGTCATATTTCGCCCTGGGCAAATGGCAGTCGATGTCATGGCAACCGGGAGGCAGGACATCGCATTCAGTCGAAGGACAAAAGCATTTACCAAAGTTCCCCGTTTCCATGGGATTAGCTGGAAAAATAATGCATTCAATGGCAAGAGCATTTGCATCGGCAATCGGCCAAAGCCCACAAATGGAGGCTTAAGCTGGGACAATGATTGGCTGGCTAAGTAGAAGCATCTGGAGCCATGGAAAATATTAGCCAGGATCGTTTCCTGGGCACGCAGACTATTTAAAATGCTAATCAAGGGAATGAATAAGTGAAAGGTGGCAAAAACTCTGTGTTTTGTTACCATTCTCATTTAAATACTAAGCCTAGTTTGGGTTTTTTGCATCAAACATTATATTATTAAACCTGATGCAATCAAATAATTGTTTAAAAACAACTCACTGCGTTCTATACCATACAAAAAGTTTTGTTTATTTATAAAAAAATATATCAAAAGGTTTTTCTCATTAGAATAGTAATCTGTGCAATTTGTGCTCTTTTGATTAAGCAAACAGAAAAAAATTATTAAGTTTGAAAAAACAACATTTTATTACTATTTAACAATTCTATTATCAAACCAGAAGCAATCAAGTAAAACAATTAACTGCGCTCTATACCGTACGATAAATTTTGTTTATTTATAAAATCAATTATCAAAATGTTTTATTTTTTCCCTTTCAAAGTTGTTATTTGGTTTTGAACCATTTGTTCAACACAAAAACTTTACACTATGTGCCAAATGCTAATTTAATTTTAAACCCAACCTTCAACAGAGTGCATTAAAGTTGAGTGGTTGAATGAAAACTAAATTTCCTCCCAGATCCTTTCCGTCGTGCTGTCAGTGTTTTGGCAATGGGCCAACAAAAACTGTCTAGATTGCCCGCATAGAATTGACAGGATCTAGCCACTGGCATTGCTGTCAATATCCCACCAACATCACTCCGCTTCTCAGCCAACAACTTTGAAGTAGTCTCGTGAAATTAAATTAATACAAAGGCATGCCCTGTCTACTTTTTCGGCAGTCAGCTGGTGGTATTTTAATTGAAAGCAATCAATATGGGGTGCCGCAGCGGCATGTCAAGTTTTTCCTGGAAAAACCAAAGACAGCTGTGGGGCTGGGGATAATTATTATTTCAAATAGAACCTTATAATTTAATACTCGTACTATTAAACACCAACAAAAAATCTTTATTTTGGTTTATAAAATAAGTCTATAAAGGGTTTATATCTTCAAAAATCACATGTATAAAATATAAACATTCATTAAAGAAATTGCCAAAATAACCTATTTAAAGGGTATCATATCGTATTATATTACCTTCCAACTGAGCTAAGCGACAGGTGGGCATCGATTTATAGACTTTATGAAATTCAACTTGCTTTTTGAGCTGCGATGAAATGAACTCTGATTTAATTCACACTTCAGAAAGGCACAGGAACCTGTCTAAATGGTTTTTCTTCATCACAGGGGGGTTGGTAATCTAATCAAAAACAGCCGGAAATGCCAATGTCAAGGAGCTCGGCCATTTTGGGGTAATTTCATTACAACTTCATTTTACATTTCCATGCTGTCACCATTTAGACGTGTAATTTGGAAATTCAGCACACAATTGCCTTTGAGCTGTGCAACATGTCGCATACGCAATGTCAGCCAGCAAACATAAAGGTAAACAGGGTTTTGCGAATGCGGTGGATGTTTGTCTTTGTCGGGTTGATGCTGTCACATAAATTGCAAGCGATTCAGCCAACGTTCTTACGCTTGTGGTCAGGACCAAGGACTCCCTACGGCACAAACACACGCAGGTCGAAGCAAAATACAGCCGCATATAATTTCCCATTAAGGAATATCCTTGTTGTCGGGGCACACACAGATGCCAGCTTTCAATTAGCCGCCTGCAGAGTTTCCCTTTTAATGTGTCTGCTTTGGTTTTCTTTACCAATTTTACTTAGCAGTTTTATAAACTTCGACTCATCCCGTTAATAAAGTTTATTTCGAAAAGGTTATAATTAATATCGCATCTTTAAATTTTATAAGTATTTACAATTTTTTTTTGCACTGTTTTATATTTATTTTTATTTATTAATAACTTTGGGAAACCATCAAATTTTAAGACCACAAACCAATATAGTTCTGGGGCCACTTCAAAATAAATTCATAAAGAATCCTTTGTCCTTTTTAATTTCAAATATATTGTTGCATACTTTAAGACTCAAGTGAATTTAAAGGTGTCTAAAAGTATCCAATATAAAATATATTCGTAAAAATCCTTTGGAAATTCTGATTTCAAATATATTGCTGTATGCTTTTGACTCTTTTATAAATGAATTTAAAAACCTGGATAATTTTGTAGCACAAACCAATATGTTTTGAATGGAGAGCACCGGGATATGTATAGTAAGTCTGTCCACCTTGGGTTATCATCCTACCATTGTCATCGCCTTGCCATTTGATTGTGATTCGCCATAATGTGACTATAGTCTCATGGCTCTTGTGGTGCCCTCAATGTGTGTGGGTTACCTTTTTACCGCAAAACGGCTCTAAAATGTTGCAGAATTGCAGGGCACCTTGCAAAAGGCAAGGCATTGCAATTCAGCCTTTTGTGCTGATGCAAAGAGCCAATTGAAATGGCCATAAAGTGCGCAACAAGCGACATGCAGCAGCATCTGTGCCATAAATCAATGCAATCAATGTACACAGTTTTCATGGCAGGTGGCACGATTTTCCCATTTCCCTACTCCAATATGTGTATATACCATACATTGGTTGTCCATTTGGTAGAAATGGGGAATCTGCAGCAACTGAGGCTTTTCAACAGAAACTACCCACAAATTGTTGGCAATTGAACATGAGGACTGCGCAATCCTGTTACACAATCAGCCTTGGCATTCAAAGGAAGTGGTCTGCAAAAGCTGATTTAACATACCACTTTTAATGCATATATGCAAAAGGATCTCTTTTGAGTATCTTATTTTTGTATTGATGATGTGCCCTTTGGCATCATCGAATTTACATTTATTTTCGATGCCCTAAATGTATAGATGCCTGAATTTCAATGTAAATATTCATTTACTGCCATATTTTGTAGGGTATTAATAGGTCTTTTACCTTTTTTTGCTTGCCGTTTTTATTCGCGAAACAAAAACATTTTTTAACGCGGACTGCAGCTTCACTTTTCTTTGTCGTTTCGCTGATATGTGCATATGTGCGACCAATAAACAAACAAAGGTAAGTGGATTTTTTCGCTCGCCCGCGGACTTGAGTGCAGGACTACAACCCGAAACCAACCGCCTTTGCATTCGAAAAAATTTGCAAAAGAAGAAAACAGACTACTATCACCCGCACCTTTGAGCTCAGACATATGCAGATTAAAAGCGCATGAAAGTGCTTCAGAGTTTTGGGGAATGCTTTCCATTTTTTTTGGGCTACCTACCCAGAGGCGCTTTTGGCCAGAATTTTCAAGTTGGCGGCGTTGTCGCTTTGCACAAAAACCGTTTATTATGAAACTTTTTTTCTCAAGTGAGGGGACTTTTTTCAGCGCGGCAAGGGGGAATCCATTAAACAGCCTCCACCTACCGCGCTACTTTACGAGCCCTTAAAGCTGCAAATAAAATTAAGAGACGCTGAGTAGTCGCAATTTTAGACTTTGCTCATTTTTTACGGCTTTTTGCTTTTCCTTTTCGTAAGGGGATTTGCTTTGCATATTCCGCGAAAGTCCGTAGCGTCTAAATGCATAAAATTTGTGCGGCACTAGT